TGCTGTAGGAGAATGCCAGACATGGCTTGCCAGGGTCTTTTTTTGCTTGTTTTTCCCCCCCCCATAACACTAAAAAAACAAGCAGACAAGGGCAGACAGCAGGAGCACATCCAGAAAGCTGCTTCCACTCACACAGTTTATGAGAGCCTTCGCTCTAAATAAAGTGGAAAAACTCACATTATCCCACCGTTTTCTAACTTATGTATGTTTAATTATTTATTCAATTTGGTAACTATTTTAAGGGTCTCTCCCTTACGTTGGCATACGTTTGCGTGACATAAAAAATAATCCGTGAATCTAGTCATCATGTGCAGTCATTACTGGTTATTGATTCTGAGAAGAAGTGGACAGTGCAGACCACAAATGTTTTAAAGAGTAGTGAAAGAATGAGAGCCAGAGGATCTTGCACTCATTGATTGTTATTTGGAAGAGGTTAAAGCCGTCACTGTTTACAGTTGGTTATATCTCAGTTGAGTTTGTAGCTATGTCCAATTGTCCTCATGCCTCTTACTGCTGTTACATTCCTATTCAGGATGATTGGCATCCCTGAACCATCAGCATGGAATTTAAGACGCTCAGAATTGAACAAATCTCCAGTAATAAATGTGAATAAATGTATTTTTCATATTTAGAATATCTGAGAATAAATTGATAAAAACGCTGTTTAACTCAAACCAAAAATTAACAAAACAAAAGTGTTCTGGTACCCTAATACCGGCCTCTAATTGAGGAACCTTTTACAACAGTGACAGCTTATAAATGTTCATACAACCCTTGGGAAGAATACAAGTCTGCTGGTAGTAATGACTCCTTTAGCATTTCCTTTCTCCAGGGATTTAGATTAGCATTTACTACATACACTGATACTCAAATCTAGTGGGAAGAAAACACATTTCTCTCTAAAATGTCTCAGAAATATTCAAATTTTGTTATTGCTTTAAAGTTCCGGTTCAAGAGAAACCACAGTCACATGTCACCATTGAACATTTACTTAGTGAGTAAACTTCATAAGCTAAAAAATGTATTAACCTCATTCAGTTCATTTCCACAGAGCTAGACCCTGTTTCCTTAACATAATTAAAAATGTGATTTAACTGTGAAAGCTTTACAAGTATAAGTTATGCTCTGTTGTGCCACACCACTAAGGTGGTTCAGCTATTTCGGGCTTTTCTTCCCCGTTTTTTTTTTTTTTTTTTTGCTTGAAGTGACAGCCCACGTAAGAACAAACTTTTTACATCATGTTTCTTATTTTTCCTCCCTCAGTAAGACGGCTCTATTAAACACTCTTTCATGGAAACTAAACAATATGTATTTTGACTGTGTCCTGGGGTGCTGTCTCTTTAATGAAGTACAATCTACCCTTTTCTCATTAGCCTTTTTAAATGATATGCCCTAAATGGTAAATGGAGGAAAAGTCTGAGACATTTAATCTTTTCACTGGCTTTATACTCTTTGACTTCACTGTCAGATAATCTTATTTAGGTCTAAGGGTTCGTTATGTGTGTGCCCAATGCTCTCAGATCACTTTAAGAGTAACCCTCATTTATTTAACTCACACGTAAAACCGTGATCTCCTAGACCCTACAAATATAGCAAAACAGATTCACATACAAGTAGGCCAGATTAGGGTTTTTTGCAATCAATGTTATCCACAAACATGCACAATGCACATGCATAGCCTGCAGTAGTTGTGCAAAAGATAAATTTGGTTACAGCAGATGCTTTGGTTGAGTCGGTACCTCCAGGCAAGTTACAACCTAATGACCAGCTACATTTGTCTGTGCGTGTGTTCCTCTGCTTTTTTCCTGTCTGCATGCCATCCCTCTGTAGTGCCCCATATTTTATGCATGCTTCAGAGAGAGGCCATTGTCCTAATTTAGGGTGTATTTACTAATTTAGGATAGCTGGAACTTCATAGGTCACATATTACATCCAAAACATAAAGGTTTAAACACTTCTGCTTTGAAATGTTTTTTTTTAAATAGTTTCCTTTTTTCTAAAGATTTGGGTTATTTATCATCCTGGTAAAATAATGAGCATCTAGAATCCTTGCCCTCGTGTCTTAGAAATTGTATCTTCAGACTCGATATTACCAACTAGAGTTCAGTGGATTACCAACCTATGGACTTCTTCCTAAATGATACCCCAAATATACAAGTGAAAGTAATAATAACTGAGAATGTCAGCGCCACCATGGACACTGCCTTTTACTTTTCTTTAGTTTTTCTTTGATTCTAAAGGCAAATATTTCTTTATTTGATTATACAATTATACTTCAGCTATTGCTTTGATGACGTCAGAATGATAGTGCATCTCTTCTTGTCTGCATGTGTAAATGGACATTAATGCATTTTTAATAGATTTTAAACATCTATTTGGAGACAGTTACTTAGATTAGACTGTGAACAAATCTAACCTTTTAGGCAGGCAGTTGTCATCATTATTTGCAAGTGCATAATGATTGACTTATGTGTCCGATCACGAGTCTGTCTATCTGGGTTGTTGTGTTACTGGCACAGTGCTGGTCAAGCAGCTCTCCAGAGGCAGCTTCCAAGCCTGTGTAAAAGCCATTTTTCCAAAATGTCAGCAGAAAATGAATTTCGGTTTATGACATGGGGATGTTGTTGTTCATGCTTTCATCCATACAGCACAACTCGTAACAGCATTCTGCGCAGCACTGCCCGAGGTTATTGTTCTTTGTCATGTTGTGAGTGAGACACTTTAGAACAGAAAGAACCTTTGGACAAACACAAACCTGTAAAAAAACAGTCATTCATTCTTTTTCATCCACGTTTACCAAATCAGTCTTGTTCCAGTCTGGAAATTGATGTGAAAATTTGACATACAATAAGTCCAACAAATGTACTTCATGAACAATGCTTGACCAGAAGATTGTATCTAATTATAGTATTATTTAGTGCTTCAGTATTTCAGAATTGCAGAGACAAGCAGGCTCAGTTTACTGAGACCTTAATTACATTTCTGTAACTTGGCTCACTCAAACTGACAAAGGGAAACGGTACGGCAGCAGATATTTTCTTCCATCAATTTTATTCAAGCTGATCGTTTTTGGCAGTGACCCACTGAATTCCACTTCACTCCTCTCCTCCTCATGGTCTGCCCTTTCTTTTTAAGTCTGTAGTACTACATGACCCTTGGATCCTGCCATTGCAGTATGAAAGAGCATATCATAAATGGTGTCAGAGCTCAGGCCACATGTCAAACTGAAAATACTTTGCTGAAATGTATCTCTTCAATCCTTACATTTCCCTCTACTGCAGTTGGACCATGGACAGCTTGTAGAGTTCTGATCCCTCTCTTAGGCACAGCTTTGCCACCATTTAAGTGAAAAAGCTGCATGCCAACATAGATTTCCTTGTGTTTCCTTCTGGACAGATGGAGGAAAGGTGATCGTAAATGCCTTCAAAGGGAATAGAAATGTTGGGAATGGAAAAAAAGGGTCTATGCGGAAAATTCATGGTTGTGCTTCAAAGCATTTCCCCCTCTTATATGTTTGTTCTGAAGTAAATGTTCAGTTTCAGATTTAGAAAACTTTATTCTCTTTCTTGTTTTGTTTGATCTGTCCTCCATTTTGAAGCAAAGTCAAACTTTGGCCGATGCAACTTAGGTTGACTTTACACAGTGGAGTTCATGCAAAGGGAAAAAGACTAAATAAATTAAACCTGATAAGTCTAAAGTTTAGCAGAAAGGAGGTTCTGATGCCCAGTCTAAGATGCCTTACAGAAAACTCCTCAAAAAACTGAATCCTGGTTTGTAGCAGGATCCTTTTCTTTGTCTGTTTACGTGTGTGGGACCTAATAATCCTTTTAGGAAATATTTCTGTTTATACATATACATCTGTGTTTTTCTTTATGTCCCTCACTGTTAATTTCTTGTTTTGTGTCTCTCCATTTGACAGGGAGAAACATTTCAACACATTCAGGACATTGTGGTGTCTCTACTGAGGATCATCAACCGGACGGTCATCACAATGGGTCGAGAGCATGCCCTGATTGTAAGTGCATTTCGCTCAGCATCTATACAGCCCTGAGGCAAAGGAAGTAGACCCTAAATCCAATCCTAAACCTAACCCAATTGGCAAGGTTATCATTTCAAAATAATAATTTCCCCCTTTCATTTCATTAATATATGAAACAGGATGAACAACAGCAGGGCTTGTATTAAATACAAAGGTTGTGTTGTTTTGTTCTTTGCAGCATGCAGCATTAAAATAGAAATTGGTCATCAGTGACTGTTAAAAACAAATAAAATCAAGCTGTAGTTATTGACGTGGACCAGAAATAACTCCCTGCATGATTTTTGTATCACTACAGCCAAGAAGCCCTTTGACTGAAAATACCTCCTTGTTAGACGTTTTGTTATGTAGAAAAGCCTCTGGCTGTGGTGACTCAACAGGTGACTTGACAGCCGATTTTACTCTCCAGCACAGACTTAATCCTGATATTCAACATCTTGCTGCAAAGATTGGAGTCTGTTCTATTCTTTCTTATAGGCAGCTTCGTACAGTGGTTTGCCTAAAATCCACACAAATGTTTCTTTTGACTCTGTATCCGGTGATGGTTCCCATCTCACACTTTACTAAAATAACAAGTACACCAACAATGTTAGTGTTAGACACAGTTAATATTTTGATCTACAAAACAATGTTACCAAAGAAGGGGTGAACTACACCTATACTGTTCATTCATCATTTAAGAGGGTCAGTACCAACTAGGTGTTGCTAATGAAGTAAAAGTTATCATAGGGATTATGAGGCCTTTTAGGCTATTGTCATCTACCACCTTAGAGTGAGAGACCATTCGGAGAGAAGTCTAAAATTTCTGTTGTTATTTTCTGAGTTGTTTTACAATTAAGGTTCAACTTCCTTAATTTCAGATCTGGTCAGGATCAAGTTAAATTATATATGTCCTTATCAGCTGTGCCTACAGCTAAAAATCTGCATGCTTTCAGATTCACTTGATCATTAGCCTCTGAGTCACACAAATCAATATTGTCTGTATCTCCTTTTGTCCTCGATTTAATGTCATTTTGACTCACAAAGTATGCTGATAACAGTGTCTAGTTTGAAATATACATTTTATTGCACATACAAGTGGAAGACCTAGAGGAGAATGACGGGAAAGGGAGACCTTATAAAAATGCTATGACATTGCAATTTGGACATAGATTGGGGAATCAGTAAGCGTGGTGTCATATGGGGTCATAATTAGGGACAATATGTCAGCCAGAGGTTGCTGTAGAGGACCCACATGACATCAGTGGTTTATTTCTAAGCCGCAGTGTCAAAAGCATTGTGAACACTGTGCAAGTGTTACTTCAGTGAGTCTGAAAACATTCGGTTTGTGTACGTCTGTCAATGGGATGGACCCGTACAGAATTGTGTACGTTTTAGGTTGTCTTCCTCCAGTTATAATTTTTGATAGATTTGTCTTTAATAGGTGTTACAGTTAGACATTGGTTCTTGTTCGGAACGACAGGCAGGCCTTAATGCTAAAGAACAAATTCATACTTTGTCACTGTGAACAAGCAGACTACCGTTTGTTGTGAATGACAAAGCCATGGGACATTTTTTCAGTTTTATTTACCCGCAATTTGCTGTTTGATTACGTCTTAGATTTCAGAATTAATCTAACCACCCTGAGATTAAATTGAACAATTCTTAAATATCCACACACGACATGCTACTGTTAATCATACAGAATTCATTAATATCATTTTGGCTTAGATTGTACAACAGTTGCTAGATTTTGTATTAATTCAGGCCAGTGGAGTGATAGGTGACCTACCCTAAACTGATCTCTTGGTTTATTGAGCTTCAGTGGGTTTACTGTAAATGTAGATTAGTGCCTGCAAGTCTGTTTGTGCATGTATTTCTATGCAGGTGTGAATGAAAATCCTTGAAATAGAACATTTACAATTGCTATGCAAACAAAGGAGAAAATCAATCACTCTGTCAGCCAATGTTAACAGAATATTTGATCATCTGTCAGAAACTGTCTCTTCTTGATAAGCTGCCACTCACATTGTCTCTTAAGATTTTTTGTAAAATCTCTACAATGTCTGGCTCTCCAAAATGCCGATGAGCCATCTATGTGTTGTCAGCGAGGTCATCAGCTTATTTTCTTCTTTTAAGAGTTTAAAGATGTTGCTACATTCATATTTGCTTTGTTTACTGTATCCAAAATGCCTTGGTTTTTCCAAGTCCTCACCTGTTCCCTGCTTATTGCTGTAGCCACAATTATTTTGAAGAGCCAGCACATGCTTCTGTCCGTTGGTCTTCACAGTCACTCCTCAGATTTATGGACAATACATGTGGCCGCCTTCCAAAGTAGCAATGCTGCTTATTTTGTCAGCTTCACAACTGGTCTAGAAAATAGTGTCTTTACTTTCAGATATTAAGTAACAAATTAACCCAAAAGTATAGCTCCCGCAGCAAAAGAAATGATGTTCTTCTGAATCCTTCTTTTGGTCCTGCATTCTTTCCTTTGTGCGTTTCCTTTTTTTCTCCATAAAATGAAGATGTATTCTGTCAGTGAAGAAGTGTCCTTCAAAGCTTTATACTTGGGAAAAAAGAAATCCTTCCATTTTTGCTAAAAACCTATGCAGACCCATTTGAGAAAGGTGCCTTCCCCTCAAGCGGAATATATTAGCTCCTGTGAAATATAATCCACATTTGTGTTCATACGCAGCCCAGAGAGGCGGTTGTGGGTTTTGTAAAGATTAGAGCCACCAGAAACACTTCTTGCGCAGTTTCTTGACTCGTGCCTTGGTGCTGGGGCGACTGGAGGAAGAAGGGGCCGGCATGGGTTTGGTTAGAGTGGAAGCAGGCACATCATATTCCACCTCGAGGGCTTCGATAACCCCCTGGAAGCGTCCCTCCTGCTGTCGAAAATCATGTTCCACACTGCAAGGGGAGAGACGGAAAGAGACAATGATAACAGAGAAAACAGCAGGAAGACTATTTAGGGGTTGGGTTATTATACATATAAGATAACTTTACTCACATAGCTAATCTTTGACAAAAGATAATTGCACGTGACAGTAAAATAGAGAATATGAGAAGAAAGATATCGGTAGAGAGGTGAAAGAGGGGTCTAAGAGAATGGTAAGTGGAGGAGTCTTGGTAACGACAAAGTGCAGTCACAGAATGCATCAAAGACCCTATAGAGCGCTTTTACCTGCTTTAAAATGAATCCTTTAGCATGCACACACACACACACACACACACACACACAGCTTTACACAGTCCTTTACTCAGCACGCATTTCACGTCCAAAGTCCTTCTGAACTTTATGCACCAATAGATCACAGGGTAGTGAGATGAGAGCCGTGGGACGAGAAAAAGAAGAGAGACCCGTGAAAGAGAGGAGAGGAGCATTTGCACAATGGAGGAGCTAGAGGAAGGAGCATAGGAGGAACTCTTTGCTCCTCGGATATGTTCAAAGCGGACCCTTTTGGCTTTCTTTTTCTATGCTCTTATTCCCCCTCCCTTCTCTCATCTCGCTTGTACTCTTTTCCTGTGAAGTATCCATTGCTGCGGGTCATAATGTTGTAGACTTTTGAGTCTCACACTCCATTTTGGTGTTTAAGTCTGTGAGTCTGAGTTGGATTAGAGGGGGTGGAGCTGCATAAGGCCTGACATCTGGAGTTAATGAGGCGCATGATGAAGCAAGGACAGCAGAGATAACCACCCACCCTTCCTTCCTCCTGTACCCAAACTTTCCAGCGCACGCTTAACCTCACAGATGCCTGTTGTGGTGCAATGCACACACAATGCACACACGCTGTTCTGCCACACAACATGAACATTTTAAACATAATGCATGTAGCTTCTCCGGTAGGGAAAAGGATTGTTGGGGGATTTACAGGAGAAGGAAGAGAAACTCGAGCGATTTAAATTTGGATGAATGAAAGAGTGCAGGGAGAATCCCAGCAGAATAAATGAGGGGAACAAAAATTCCATGTGTCAACACAGAGAAAAGACCCATCTTGGTTCCATGAAAAGGAATGAGTGTGCAGAAGATTAAATTAAAGATCTGGTGGGCATAGAAGAAGGAAGATGGCTTCTATGAATAAGTGATGCAGCAGCCAGATTATACAAACACACAGATATTTTTAACAAACAAACCAACAAAACACAGTGTACAAGAAAGATCCGGTGCTGCGTCTTCCACACACTTCCTTAATTTACAGTTTATCTCGTTGAATGAGTGTTTTTTCTTCGTCAGGTCCCTGTTTACCCCTTCAGTAATATTCAAAGGTCCCTATTTCTCAGACCTTATTAACTAACACTCTCTTTGAATCTACAGTTTCCCTTCTCACTATTGTTTGTGGAATTAAGGCACTCGGGGAAAAGCTGCTACTCATAATTCTTTCTGAAAGCTGTCATCTTCAGTATCCATGAAACAGCATGCATGACTGTGAGATTGTTTCTTTCTTTGTGAGGGACTTTTTTTAAACCTAGATATTTTTGCTTGATGTCTAGGCTAATAAAGGGATAGTTGATATGTTGTATGATCTATATCTTGTTAATTAAATCATTAGCATCAATGAAGAATTTAGTATTTTTGTTTCGGGATGCACTGACATAAATTTAATGTGTTTGAGCTTTGGGAGGAAACACAAATTTGCCTCAAATTCCTCTCTCCATTTGTCTTTTATGAAGATTTTATAAATATCCATTTGAAACATCTCCAGGCAGCCTGCCCAGGTCAATATTTCCTCTTTCCACTACAAATCACTCATTTGGATGTTTTAGTCCCACGTGTAACTCATCCTCTGCTTGTATGTTCTTTGTAATCCTGCAGTCTTTTGACCGAGAATTCTCTGTGGCTTCATAGGTTGTTAACATCCAGTCCAAAAAAGGTCTGACTTTGGTCTGATTCATTGTTTTTATTGGTGTTATCAAAAAGCATTCAAGCCTGGTTGTGTGACTGTTCCTGGTACGCATATTAAGAGTGCTAAGATAGCCCTGGATTAGTAGATTTCAATATTTGGATTACTGACCATACAAACATACATTATACGTCTATATGCTCGAGAAAAAACAAAACTATTAAAGGAAAATGGTGCAGGAAGCAAGAGAGAGTACTTGATAAGTAAAAGCGGCTCTATACTTTTTGTGAAACCCTCTTTTATTAATGACTGACAGCCTGTTTTGTGTATTTTACAGTGTTCATTTGTGATTACAGATTCCTTTGCACAGTGTGTTCACTCTGCTGACAAGGTGCATAAAAAGGGAAAATAATGGTCCAAGAACAGGCAGGTTTCGTAGGTGGCTTTGCTAAACGATCAGAGCATTTTGTGCTTTTCTAAACATTTTCCCTTAATTTAGTCCAATCAAATGCCCATTTCACCATGCTTCTGGATGTTCGGGTTAAATATGCCTACAAGAGCTTTCGTGCATTTCTCATTTTAAGTGAGATGTTGAATAATGCAGGTTTTAGTCTTGGCATGCACAGTACCTTCCATTACAAATTAATCTCTTACAATGCCGGCTGTCACATTTTTTTTTTAAGTGAAAGCAAAATGTCTCTCTCTGTCTTTGTTTAACAAACAGTCCAATGCATGAAAAATGCAAATTGCCACATTTGAGAAACCTTTTGATTTTATTTTTTTTTTTTTTTGGGCTTACTTTTTGAAATATTTTGTCATAAAGGTTGCTAACTTTTTTAACTGTTTCAGGTCTAAGTGGATGCAATAGTCCACTTCACTCAGATTTTCCACGGTGTGGCATAGACATTTTTCCTGTGTGCATAGACATGGCTTTGTATACGTTCAGACATGTTTGTGCAGGGCAGTGTGTGTGATTAGCTCAGGATGGATCCATATATAAACAAGGCAGTCTTTTACCCTTGATGCTCATTACCAGTGACTGGGGAAATGATTCTGCTGTCTTAATTAAGATCAAGGGAAGAAAGGAATAGAGTGAAGCAATGGATGTAAAGGATGAAGACAGAGGCACTGTAAAAATGAGAAAAGAATATAGATGCAGAGGTTGGGTTGCTTGGAGGCAAATGACTTTAGAGAATTCAAGGAGCAAAGATCCTGTAAAATAGGTCTTTATCTTTAGAGATAGAGAGATAGATAGATATAGAGAAAGATGGATATAAAGACAGAGATAGTTTATCAACCCTTGGGGAAATCATGGCTTGCAAGGGAGATTTATCTTATTCTAAACTTTCAGAGCTGGCTTCGATCCTGCCTTTGGTCTGTGGATACAGTGTTTCGCCTCTTTTTGTCTTATCCACAAAGTTACACATGGAAACCTGAATTCACAGCTTATGGGAGCAGTGCAGAGATGCGTGGAGTGGGGCACAGGTGAATATAGCTTTGGCAATTGGCAGATAGAATGAGACAGGGACACGTAGAGGAAACCAGTCTAATGGAAAGTTGACAGATTGTTCAGGCATGGGGATGAAGAGATGACTATTTTACATAATTGAAATATATGAATGAGAAGAGGGCTGGCTTGAGGTGATGTGAAGATTAAACTATAGTATCTGGTAGCAGATTTTGATTGAGCGATTTTGTAAATTGTATAGAATTTATTACTGCAATTTTATATTTGGGTCACCCATATAAGGGGCTGGCTGGAGCTAGAAATATGCTGAAAAAAAACCTTCTTTAAAGTGTGTACCAATTGTGAATGGAACCTCCTATATATATATACACACACACACATATATACACAGTATATACTTATTAGAGGTCAATAGAGAGGCAGCGAAAATCAGATATAAAGAAGATGACAGAAAAATGAAGAGATTGACTGAGAATGCAAAAACATAAAGCAATTGGAAACTTATTTGGGGCTGGAAAAGAAAATGCAATTATTTGAATCATTTTAGTCCCCTTCAAGCAAGAATGAATTGTCAATTGTGCATATGTAATGTAGTAAGCTCAGTAATAGGGTTACCTGTAGATGATGCAGGCTGTCCTCTGGCAGGTGGGACAGTTGTTTATGTCCTGGCCTGTTCTGTATGAGCTGCGGCTTCTGAAACGACAAATATCAAGTGAGACATACAGTATGCAGACACACAGAGGGAGATTTTATGATGATGGTGGTGTAATGTCTTCATCCACTGCATTATCTTAATTTCTCTATTGTCAATCATGTTTGTCTGTGTATTTGAAAATTAATTTACTGCCATTTCAAGATTGTTGAAATTGTCATTCATATTTCATTAACTTCTCCAAACTGCAAAAGGTTTGGTTGCTATTGTGTGCAAATGTAAGAGGGAGAGAACATTTTGTCCTCATGATAGGCTGTTTTTAAGATTTTTTCCAGTGTCTTTGGAAAATGGTCACTGGGTTGACTGCTGGTGCCACAACTGATATTAGTTCCATCCACTATTCACCTACTTTATAGATGTGTGCAATATCTTGTCATAGAGCGGTCTGGTGACTTTGTATCCCTTCAAGACCACCCAAAACGTTGCTTGACGCTCTACTAGAATTCCGTTTACAACTCTGTGCATTCTGTAAAAAGCAGTGTTTGCAGCAACCCTGTGGACAGATCTAGTTAGGAGCCAAACAAAACATGTCTCAACCGTTATTAGCAGCAGTTTTTTAGTGTGATGTCAATGTCTACTACAAAGCTATGGGTGCACTACTAAGTAAGAGTGATTACTCATGCTCACCATGTTATCAAGGATAAACAGGATCACTCAGCTCATGATGAGTGCCATGTAATTAGAACGCTGTTGTCAAGATATCTTAGTTTGGCCTTTAAATGACCTGATTAGAGGAAAGACTGACTAATAATGTTGAGAAAATTGACATTTTAATTACGTGGTGAGATATCGTGTTCTGTTCTATTTATTTTGTCCCCAACCTATCTTTATCAGCAAGGAAAGAAAGTAAACAGGGAGTTGAAAAAAGCAACCGCCTTTTAACCCCACTGACGTTTTTATCACACGAGTCAACTTGACTACTTTCTTTCCAGACTCAGCATTAGTCACATACAACTTCTCTCATGTGGTGGTTCTGATAATTATTTTTCTGTTTTACCCTCTTAGTCTATCATGAGATAAGCATACACACATGACCGCCCAAACGCATGGTGTATGCTATTAAGCCAGGCGAGTCAGCTTAAATACTCAGTTTAGGAGTCTTATAGTGCAGCTTACTCATTAATTGCTGGGTAATCGTGTAGGGATTAGTCTGGACTTAGAGACATCTGTTAACACTGACCAGAAAGTAGAGGAATGATAAGAACTACAAATATATAAACTGATAAAGGTGGGTTTGATTTGTTTGACATTTTTGGAGGTGATAAAACAAGTAACGGTGAGAGACAGCTGAAAGTTCATTGCAAAAAATTACATGGCTAATGTAATTGATGGAGTTGATTTTTGTCCAACTGATAAATGTGACAGCTATTGATACCTGCACAATTTAAGAAACATTTTCACAATTTTGAAATCTTTCCTAATGGACTTTGAAAAGCTGGTTCTATGAAACAAACCAGCTAGTTTCAACAGATTTTTTTCAAGAGTATGATGCAGTATACAAAACACTGTTTGTTTTGGTCCCTAAAATAAATTATAGGAATAAACTCTGGCTCCCTGGTAAAAGTGAATTATTGAGGAGAGGATAGAAAGCCAGGAGATGAAGAATGGAGACCAGTAAATTGGGGAAACACAACAGAGACTTGGCGAACATGTGAAAGCAGAGTAATGGACAGGTTGTCAAAACACAGAAAGAGAAACGACAAATAAATTGTGACTGGAAAGGAGGGATTCACAGCTCTTATATTGAGAAAATGGTTAAAAGTGTGGAGGTGTGCAGGCAGATAAGGTGAAAGAAAAGGTTTTACTTAAGACCTAAGGTGCAAGGGTGGAAGCGAGGAAAGATTAATTGGGTTAAAATGGGTTGAAAGGCAGCAGAACATAATAGAAACTGGTTTGATGAGTTTGCTTTGACGTGCAGCAATATATCTTTGACAATATATACAAAGATATATATAAAGGAAAGGGACCATGGAAATCTTGGGTCGCTGAAACAGGCCACAGACAAGCAGGTATTAAACAGTTTAGTCCTACAGGATTGCAGCACTCACACGTGGAGGGACAGCAGTACAGTCCTTTGTGGGCCTGAATTTTCAAACACTATCAGACTAACTTGAAAGCCGATCAGCATGTAATGCTATAAAAGCCCAACTATGCTCTCTTCTCAATATTGTGCTGTCCCTTGACACACTCTGGCTCTCTGTTTGCTCTCTCTTTATCACTCTAACACACTCTTACTTGAACACTTGCTCTTGCAGTGAGCACTTCTACCTCTCACTTCTGCTTTTCTCTCCTTGTCGTTAGCTCCTTCTCCTTCACCACTACATTGGTATCTAAACATAGGTGTTCTTGCACTTCAGTCTCCGTTTCTTCTTACCTTCGTACCTGCTCTCTCTTTTAGTTCTTCCCTCCCCGAGTCCCTTCTCTTACCCGTCGCTGAAGGCCTTGCTCTTCTCCAGGTCTTGAATTACATTGAGAAGCACCTTGATCTTCTCCTGATTGGACAGTAGGTTCTCCTCCACACTCTGTAGTTGGCTCTGCAGCCCACGTGGCACCCTCACCGTTTGTCCACCCAACAGTCCTCCTGGGGCCCCATTGCATTGTGCTTTCATATGAGTCTTGCAAGGCAGAGTGTGGTCATCAAACGATTTGCTCTTCTGCTTTGGGTAGTCCTTGAATTTGATCCGTTCTGATGATTGCTTGAATGAACTTGTGTTCTCTCGGTTTTTGGTTTGCGCTACAGGTGTTGCTGGTTTGGAACTGGAGTTCTTTAGAGAGCTTTTTGGTGGAAAAGGTTTGGGGCTGCTAGATTTACTGTCTGTGTTGAAAGAAGGTTGAGGCTTAGAGACAATGCTGACTGATGTGAAATGATGGCCATGTTCATCTGCGTTCTGGGTTTGGGTTAGATCATGACTTTGTTTGTCCGTGGAATCGGGCTTGACCCCCCCTGTGGTGGATACATGATGTGTAGGTGTAGCTACGCCCCTCTCTGTGTTGTTGTATGTGTGGCTGTCTGTAGTTTGTGTGGCTGAGTCCTTGTAGAAAGTAAAGTCGGCCGAACGTGGCCTTGTCTTCTGCTTTGAATCTTTTGTTTTGCTCTGCGTGAGCGCCGTGTGGTTAGACTGTGAACTGTGTGTTTTTGGTATGGTGTGTGACAGCTGCGCTATCGGAGCAGTCTTCACTGATATGTGCTGCTGTGAGTTAGCTACGTTTGTGTTGGTGCAAGGCTGAAGGTTCAGAGCAGCAGAGGTTTTTCTTGATTGAGTCGGAGCCGCGCATGTTTTCTGTGGCGGATTAGGTAAAGTCTGGCTGGCTGATACTAGATTGACCGCCCTCCTGCGACATGCACCTGTGCAGGGTGTAATCTGCGACCGTCTCCTTCCACATGTCTCACAAAGGCGATGAGGGGAACCGGTCACCACTCGGCAGGGTCGAGGTGGCGTGGCATGTAAAGTTGTACAAACACTCCCGGTCTTCAACACTGAGCGATGACCTTCCCCTCTCAGAGACTGCACCCTTCTCCTCTCTTGGGTTGGCTCCTTACCTTCTGTGGCCTCCTTGCAAACCCCTCCCATCACATCAGAGGCTACCACGCTGCCATTTGTATACCGGGCTGTCCTTTTGCTTGCCGTTTCTCTGGGGTTTGTCTGTATAGTTCTGATTTGGCAGTAAACTCCGCTCCCCGACCCCTGCGAGCCCATGTCGTCCTGTGTCAGTCTGTTGATCTCGTTTTGAGACGTCTCTTTGGACTCTGGCAGACTGTTGCTGTCACTCTTGATAGCCCCTCCGGTTTCTGCTGCCGTTGCTTTGTCTGTTGCCATGGCGACTGCCTGATGTGTGGTGGTTGGTTGACTGCCGTGCTGTTTGACGGAGGGGAGAGTCCGCAGTCTGGGAGATGTCTGCACCCCGACGCTGCACAGTGGCCCCCATCGCCCCACTGCAAGAGGAACTCCCAGCGCAGGCACTGGATTGGTTGGGTCAGCCACCCTCCTGCCCATGCTCTGCAGGTTGGCTCAGCCCCCGGAGGAGCTGAATCGGATAGAGGCACTCGATGACATCAGCCAACCTCTGCAAGATTATATCCAGCAGAAATCCAGAGTGTTCCAGCTTTAATTTAGCCAAATTGAATTGAGTGTTGGGGAGGGCGGGCAGATTGAAAGAGTTTGTGTGGAGACACTAGACAGGAATTCAATATTCAATAAACTCTCAAAGTTCTTCCACTAAAGACCTTTTCACCAAGTCTAACTTCTTTGATTGGACATTTGTGTCAAAGTTGTTGTTTTTTGTTCAGATTTTGGCCAGTGGTAATTTATTGTCTGGACATTTTTTATTCATTCTGGGGAGAGAGGAGAAATACAGAAAATATGTTAGAGAAACAATAGAATAAAAAAGCAAGACAGTACATTATTTGACTGAGAGGACACAGACACCAGGCCCGCCAAGCACCGTATAAAAGCTTCAACCTTGACTGAATGCACACACTAACCAGATCAATAGAGGTCTATCAAGTTCTTATTACCCCAGCAGGTGGGTGGGAGTTACCATGGCCAAACTTTAAATCTCATTCAAGGGTAGGAACAGAGTGACCAGAAATATCTTAAGTTTGATAATGCATGTCTCAATAAACCTGTACTTAAATACACAGCTGGGTTTTATTCATGTATGTTAGATGTCATGTTGTTAAAAGAATGAAGGTGTACTCATTCAAATTTTCTATTAATATATGGACTGATGGAACATTGGGCTTATTAGTATTTGTTGTGGATTTAAACTTTTGATCAGAAAATTATTTTTCCACTAAGTCTTTATTGAAAATATTAAAAATTCTGATGTTTGAGTATAGATATATTGAAAATTTTAATCAAACCAAATTATCAGACCCAGTTATCAGACCCTGACAAACCTGTTTTTTGCATCCCCACCTGTCACACACACACACACACATCAAATACAGAGGGGAATGAAGTGATTGACTTTGGGTGATTATCATTCATTAAGTCTGAGTGCGTAACCATTTGCCAGCGAAGTTGGATTGTTGGGATTGTTTTCTCTATGGATTCAAGGGAGAGAAACTATCTGCATTGTGTCCCAATGAAGTTTCTGTTGAGGTAGCATTCTGGTTTCTGAAGGGCAAAAGTGTACTGAAAATATCTAGACGGTGTTGAATATTTGAAGTCTAGTCACAATTTTCTCTCATTTCAATTCCCTGATGTTCTGCTCCACATCTTCAACACCCCCCCCCCCCATTTTTCATTTGTTTGGGTGACAAATAAAATGGTACTTCAGATATCTGAATTCTAGCTTGTGTTTGTGAACAGAAACTAAAACTGATATGGTTGTGTTGAAAGGTGTTTTTCATTTGTTTAGACTGAAACGAAATGAGCCATTTGATTAAACTCAGCACACAGAACTGACTTAGAGCTGTGTTGTTCACTCAGTTTGGCTAATACAACAGGGGCAGGATGTTATTATATTAGCTTCTTCTCCGTTAGGGAACTGGGTCATTGCAGCAGCAGATTTTGAAAGAAAAAGACAAGGCAAAAGGACAGACATAGATAAGAGGATAATGAGGCTTATTTTGATCTGCATATACTATCAGCTCTCCATAGCCCGCAACAGGGGTTGGAGCAACATTTCCAGTTGAATTAATAAGTTAGGTTACACATTTAACAGTTTTCTTTCCTTTAAATCAGCCATTGTTGTTATGTCTCAGTGCCACTCATGAAGAAATTGATGCTGGTGCATAAACAAGGTAATTTCTCTGAACCTGAAAAGACTGAAATAACTTTTATGCCTTCATCAATGGTTTTCTATGGTCTCATAAATATTGATGTTACATTGCAGTCAGTGTGTGATATTAAGGCTGCTGCATGCTGACAAGCCACAATTAGAAAGAAAATAAGGATCACAACAGGAATGCTTGTGTGAGGTCAAGATTGGAAAATTGCAATAATGTTTTCCCAAAAAAGGAAAAAACTTCTTGTTTACTGGTTGCATTGGCCTAAGAATCCAAGAAATGATTGATCTTGCCATCAAAACCAACTAAATCTTGACCCAAACCAATAAGAAAATAGAACTGAGCATTATCCATTGTCGTTTCAAAGGTCAAATGGTCCTGCAGTAATTCCAAACCACCCCTCACCATTTTGATCCTGACCCTAATAAGCCTGACTGTTACTCTAAAGGTTGATACGGATTGAGACTCAGAGTCATGGACACGCTCGCTCATACCAATGGTCTGTCTTTGTTATAGTGACTCATTTAGAAAGCAGCTGTCCCTAAGCTGCTCCAACAGCACGAGCGGAATAACAATAGACATTTAAGTCCGACTGGTTTCCTTGCCTTGGCAGTGAATGAAATTGATATTGTCAGACACTTTCAGAATTTTCAGTTTTCATTTAAGAGCATTAAATATTTACGCCGAATGAATTCTCCTTATTATGCGGGAGGGCTTGCACCTCGGCTGCACTGGAGAAGTTAGAAATTCAGACTGCATTGAGTCTGCATCTCATGTCATGAGGACCTGCACATGCAGCAGTCCAGATGTGGTTAAGAGCTCGTGCACGCTGCTTTGCAGCTCAGCTCATGACTGAATCCACAGTGCTATGAACACAAGAACTTCATAGCAAGCATGTTTTTTTTATGTCAAGGTTATACTGTATATGAACTGTAGTTGACATTCAGCAGGTTTGGCTGCCGATAAAATATTTACAAGGCTACACAGATGTCAACCTTTGGTTTATGGGCTAGCTATATCTTCATTTATCATCTTCTTTTTTACCTTTGATTAGGCTGCTGCCATCTTTGGTGTGGAGGCAGAATGTATATGTTACAGTTAAAATTAACTTGAAAAAACATATTTCTCCACCAAATTGGTACAGTATGTGTAATAGGCAGTATGTCAGGGGTGTTGCTAATGTACAAAGGACCATAAACACTTTTCTACCTGATTTCTTTTTTTTTTGCACCCATAAGTTCCCGTTTGGCTCAGTTTTTAAAATATGATTGGTCAAGACAATTTAATGGCTTGCAATGCAAAAAGTAATAATCACTGTTCTTCTGAGTGTCAGTGCTTTTGAGGCAGAGAACTGTTGAGAATATCGATGAATGATTAAGTGTGTTTTTCCCATTTTTAGGGCCAGAGGCAGCATCTGGGTGGGTGAGAAAAAGGCCGTTGTCCAAAATCAAGTGCCAGATGATTACGATGTTTTTTTGGAGTAAACAGAAAGGGAGAGACAGATGAGACTCTTGAGCCTTTGTTTATTTGATCATTTATGAGAGTGCAGACTGTAAATGGGCGCACATGTACCAGATTGTATGGTTGATTGTTTGAGTGTTCAACCAGTTTGCCGTGGGATTCAGATTTAGTCAAATGAGGGTAATTTCATTACAGCCTCTTTCGGTGCACCTGCTGCAACAAAGTTTCTCTCTTTCTCTCTCTCTCTTTCTCTGTCTCTCTCTCCCTCTCCCTGCAGTTCTCTATGTGTGAGCGTATCTCTTCTATCTGCCTCAGGTTTCCCTCTTCACCTCTGACCTGCAGCCTGCCAGGCAGAAAGTGACACCATGTCCTGAGAAATCCCTTCCACACTCCTGTGGATCTTAGTCCTTCCAACACACTCTTTCCCTCTTCTTCAAATCTGGTTGAGTGACTTTGTCCTCCGATCACTCTTTCATTGTTATCCTCTGTTAGTTGTCGCACTTCTTCACACACCTCCTGCCTTTCCACCTCTGTCATGCTGTCTTTGATATGATGTGTTTCTCTATACCTTTCCTCCGCCTCTATATTTAATCTTAGCACCTCGCCCACATAATACCCCTAGCTGTGCAAAATGAATGGGGAGCAGAAGAAAAGGAACCATTTTCACCCGTGGTACGGAGAGGCAATTAAATAGGGAAACATTGATGGGATATGATAAAGAGGAAAATGCCAGAGAAGATTTAATTCATGCACGATCATGCGTGTTTATTTACAGTATCTATGTCTAAGCAGGATATAAAAGCGTGCTGTTTGGCATGTTTATATCCTCTAAAGTGCGTGATGGGGAGTATTAAATAATAATGATAGAACACCTTTGGAGCGACATGACAGACAGACAAAATATAGGAAGGAAAGAGATCTAAGATCTGCTTGCCACAAAGCAAGTATGTTTGAACATCTTTGATGTGTACAACCACAAACACACGCCGAGCCTTTAATACAACAGAGAATAACTTGACAGCGTGTGGATTTTATGACATCCGTTTATACAAGCAATCAGTTTAATGTACCAGTTGGTGGGTTTTGGTTGTTAAAGAATTGTCTCCAGCTCAGGCAGTCGAAGTCAAGCCCTGTGTGTGTGTGTGAGGGCACACCCACGCCTTTGCAGTGGTAACAGAGCATTGAATGCTCCAGTGAATCGAGTCCCCTGTCGTTTCAAGGTGAGCCTCATTTTTCAACTGCCGATTGACGGGCCCTATGTGTGTGTGTGTGTGTTAGTGTGTGTTGGGACGACTGAGACTTGCTTTACTGCTCTGTAATCACACTGCTTCTCTCAGTAACTATCTCTCACCCACTCACCGGCAGAACAGAACAAACATAGGACTTTATTGGCCCTTTGAGATGGGGCGCACACTGAATTTCTGGTTATGCCATCAATTTTTGGTCTTCTCTTATCTGGGCCGGAGGCACCAGAGGACAGCTTGTTTAAGTTAATCTTTCAAATGTATAAAGCAGTGAATTTAGTCTTATTAAAAAAAATTACTTTAGATAAGTGTTGAAATGTTCCTGCTATCACTGTGCTTGACATAATGAGACTTGGCACTCCATCAATTATCTCTCATATTTAGAAAAATAAGCTCACACATTTTATCTTCCCAGTAACACAGCAGATCGCTAAATAAGACGTCAGACATTTTAAGCCTTACGTGGACATTGGAGACTTGGAAGGGAGGCCAGCATTGGAGGCCACGGACATCTTCAGTTAGCTGTCTGACTTTTCTTTATTCGAAGTGACTGACGATTGAAAAACACATCTGATACAGTCTGCAGATAAGCTATCTGACAAGTCAGTTCAGCTTTTGACAAGGAAGAAAAATAGAAAGTAAATATTTATCAATGTATTTCATCCCAAACGCCCTGGAATATTTACTATAATTTGAAGTTCATATTGAATTATTTAGTATTCATAAGCTTGCTTAGTTTAAGAACACACATGCATGCTCTTCGGCTCCAGAGCCCTCTAACTTTAATTCAGCACCAGCTGTGCTTCGGGGACATTTCTGCATGGTGTTGAGCGTGTTAGGTGAATTTGTCTTAGTCCTTGAAGGGACTTCACCTGACTCCCTGTCCCTTTGTTTCAACATTTGTTCCTTGCCTGTAGCGAGACCAGGGCTCTGAGGGGACAACATCTCATACTGTAGGACTCATAGTTCATCCTGTCACTTCATGAAGCAGTGTGTAGGATTTAGTTGAAGCTGGTGACAACAGAGCAGATAACGAACAAGTGAACTCCCTCTACCTAAATTCTATCCTTCCAAGCATGAAGTAGAAACTTCAGTGGAAGTGAAAAATGTGAGATGGCCCTCTTTAGGTTAGCTGTTTGTTTGTGTGTTTAAAGTGTCTTTAGAAATTTGCTGGAAGACTTGTGGCGTCTGTTGTGGCTTATACTATAGTGAGTAAGGTTGACGTTTCTGATTTTGATCCGTAAGAAAATAGAAAACGTAGTTATGGATATTAAAGTGAATATTTGACAATACACCAGAAGTATAAAAAAGTTTCTCAGGCTCTTCTTTTCACAGTATGAGTGTGGAAAGTGTTTAGCACACAAACAAATGGGAAAAGTAGAACTTATTTTGCTGCTGGTGAATAATATATGTGTGCTGCATTGCAGATATGAAACATGTATGCCCAGCGCTGTGTCTGTCTCTCTGCTTCATTTCTCATAATCTGTTACTGATATCATTTTTCCCTTGGTGTTGTGACATAGCATTTATCGCTGCCTCACAGAGGGAGCAAATCCAGTAATGATCACTTGGAAAAAAGAAAGAAGCAGAAGCTGGCTCAGCTTTATCTGAAGCCTGTTTTGTTGTGCATTTAATTGACTCCAAGTGTATTGTTCAAAGACAATTCACTTTAATCAGCATTTCAAGTAAAGAGCTAGACACCACAAAGGCTGATGTTCATACCGCGAAAGCCAAAAAGCTTGCCCAGCTCAGAAAATACTCAGTCGATTGTTTGTGAAACACTTATAATAGCAAGACACTCAAATATTCTCTCAAATTACACTTATTATATTCTGTTGAATGTACTCAAGGTGAAACACTTGTCCAGTTATAATGGATGCTCTTTAATAAACGCACTCTATAATCCATAAAACTGTGGGAGCAGCTGAATTGTCTCGACTGGTCATGCTTCTCTGCAACTTGTACCCTTCGTGTTCATTATAAATTTCATTTGGACTTACTCCTCTGTTTACATGTCCTTTGAATTGTCCAAGTGCCTGTTTTTGTTTGTGCAAGCTTGGACTCAGTGATGCATAAAAGCAGAACATAAAATAACCAGATACTAATGGGACATGCTGACTGCACCTCTGTCTGTACCTGTTAGATTTTTGGAGGCAGAAATGTGTTTTCTGTTAAAATATTCCCTCAAGTAAAGGAAGAAAGACAAGAGGGGAAATCTGATTGCACATTTTGTTTAGTGTTAGATTCCATGCTTAACATAAGCGGGAATCAATTGTAGACATGTTTAAACCTGCCTAGCAGGCCCAGTCCTGAATTTCAAATTGAAATGGTGATGGTAGAAAATGCGAATCACAAACTCCATCTCATCGGGATATGAATTGTTAATGAGTTTTTAGCCCTTTTTACTTGTTGATGAGAGAGTAAATAGGACATTCGGTGTACCAATGTTGTATTGTGGTCAAAGGGCTGGGAGAGACCCCTCATAAACAAACAAACTAAGGTATAAACGATTTATTTGTTAGTAGAAAGTAAGCTTATTAACAGTCAGTCATGCGTCTGCAAGCAGAAGGGCCCCGCATAGAAAAAGAAGTCCATTATTGACAAATCCATCTGCTTACTTAATTTATTTGTTTAGTTGATGGTGGGACGAATGTGTGTGCTGTGATGGATGAGCAGCAGAGCAGAGAAGCTAATAAAATTCTGAATATTTAGCAGCTATTTGCTTCCAAATGTTTGATCAAACATAAACCTGATAAAGTGGAAAACAGCTACAGTGAGCTCACAGAGGAAACAAAGTGCCTGGGATAGCGGCGAGCCTCCAATGCATGGCCACACCGATATTTTATCAGTGTGGCTAATAGGGCGTGATGGGTGGGTGTTGCAAACTACCATCCACTCTCTTTAAGTCATTTTTTCACGTTATCCTTCCTTTTTCACCTATCTTCATCTTGATGATTCCCTGTCTTCTCTCTATGCTCGTCCATCATATCATCTTTATCTTTTCGGTGCTATCACTCACCCTCTCAGCACTTCCCATCCAGTCTCTCTATCATTAACCCCCAGTCTATTTCTCCTCCTCTTATCATTCCATCCTGCTGCACCTGCCATCCCATTTCTCTCTTCTTCATCCATCTTTCTGCCCCCCTGACTTTCCAGTCCTTTTGTCTTACCCCACATCTAATCCCTCTCTCATCACTTGCTCACAGACTGTTTGGTTAGAAGAGAGACTTAAGTGTCACTGACACACACACAAACAAATGCATCTGCAGGCAGAGCAGCCTTTCTTTTGATTCTTCATCCTGTCTTCCTGTCTATCCTCTTTCAACCTCTACTTGCTCTTTCCTTCCATCATCTGTCACTCTCTGGAGAAAAAGGACTGGACTGAGAGGAAACTGAGACCTTAATGTTATATTCTACAAATTGATTAGGTTAGTCTACTCTGTAATTTGCATTAAATCCAATTCAAATGAGCTCTTAGTGAACTCAATTACTTCCAGTATGTGTCCTGCTATTTTTGTACTTGTTTGTTAATAGATACATCTTTTTTCTCACTTAATTAGAAGAAATCAATAGTCTTTATAGTATTAAATAAAGCAACATGGTTAATGATCTGTCCAATTTTAAGAGCCTTCTGTGTTTTGCCTCATACAGCATATCCACTGTATATGTATAGAGAGTATATGAATATTCTTATTGCAACAGCAGTTCATAAAATATCATGATTTTATAGGCTTTGTTTGTCTGCTGAAAATGATAGATGGACATTAAAGATGACCGCTTGTCTCATGATCGAGTCTTAAATCAAAACAAACCCTAAAATTCTTCAAAACTCATGTATTTCTGGTGTTTTTTTGAGGTAAGAAAGGAAAAACCTTCAAATTAATTGTATCTAGTTATACTGGTATTCTTTTAAGTGGATTAAATTCCAGATATACCACGTATAAGAAACAAGAATATAAATAATTCATACCTCTCGTAGTGGGAGAAATAAAAAGAAAGTTATAATGAGAACTTGTTATAATTCAAACTAGTTTAATATAACCATACTAACATAGTAATTATCTATTTGAAGTGAAAGTAAGATAATAGGATTAAATTCTTTAGGAAAAAGGAAAAGCCTAGATCCGTAATATTTGTAATGTTTTAGAATATCATGAGAGGTAAAGATTTGTATTCATCTCATTAAAGAAAAATTAGATATGAAATATCAAATGACCTTGTAATTTCAAATTGCCAAAATGTCTTGAAACGGTTACATAGTTACATTTTGTGGATTAAGAAAAGTCAATCCATGCACCTGCTTGGCATAGTGGGAACATAGAATTTACACATGCCAGGAAAAGGCCTATTGGAGGGTTTAGCTTGTTCATGAGGAGCAGTGCAACGTTCCACCGTGCAGCAGTGATGCACAACAGCAGCTACATGAAAGAGGCACCTGAGGGAAACCATATCCTAAATTCTCATTTTGGAGGCAAGTGTTCACATAAAATTTTTTAGCTGCAATGAAAAAATGTTTATTTGGTGAGAAATGGCAGCAGCATTTGATAAAAAGAACACCTTGACAGCTATTACAGTATATATGAGTACAAATATTCTGTGTCTGTGGGTTGTACTGAACCCTGTGACAGAGAAAAAATACTGCACATATAAACAGAAAATCTGCATATTGTGGGTTTTAATGCCACCGTGCAGCACAGAAATGGAAAGTTTGAAAAAATATATAGCAACATTATTCTTCAGTTTACTTTTTGACATGTTCGGAGCAGACAAACGAGTGTAGTACACACACAAACACACTCAAATATATGACTGGGACATTATTTCAAATGATAATCTCACTTTACTAATGATGTTGCATAAAGGTCTATATCCATACTGTCGAAACAGTTTATCCCTCTTCAGCATCTGGTCGTTGTCATAGTGTTGCCGAAGTCCTGAGGTGACACCAGAGATTATTTGGTTCTTGGAAACTTAACCTCATCTCATTTGCCAAAACTCCAACCTCTCTGCTTGATATATTACAATATGGGGACTCGCCTTTCGGCCATTTAAGAAAGATACAACCCCCAAATGTGACTCTATAACCTGAATCAGGTGGCCGCATGAGAAGTGATTCAGAGACGACACACACACAACCAAGCCCAGAAGCAACATTAGTGTATGGAAGGTCTTTTTAAAGCCATGCTAGCTGCCCTGATGACCACTCCAGAGGCTTTTAATAACAGCTGGTCAGCAGGCACACACACACATAGACACAGGCATTTGGAATCCTTGTTAAAAGCACTAATTGTCATTAACATTGCATAATAGATCATGGAGGATAATTCCCCCACCCAGGACACAGACACACTGTACACAAACACACACAGATTAATTCACATGCATCAAACCCTCCTGAGCCGGGTGGGATTTCTCACCTGACACAGGCACATATGCAGTCAATCTGTACTCTGTGTTAATGTGATCACATCACTTCTTGAAGAAGAAAAAAAAAACATGCTTTATGCTCACTTCGTATTGAGAAAGCAGCTTTAATGAAGAAGAACACTAACACACTGGCAAAGTTTATCTTTGCTCCCTCTATTGCTGGATGTTGCAGTCCAGAGGTTTAGTCTGACCTGATGTCTGATATTGCAGTTGCTTCCAAACAGTCGTGGATACCCCCCCAAAAAACCCAGCCTGTGTCTTTCATCTTTAACTATAAAGTACTAGCCGAGGGCTGTGAGTCTGAGAACATTCCTCAGAGGGTCTTTACGGAGCAAGAGGAAAACATTGTAAGCTTTTTATGTTCTCACTTCCTTACACACACTCAGCAGAACACACACTCTGTTGTATTTACCAACAGCTGTCTTTGCTTTTTTGCATTTCCTGTCACTTACCTTTGCTCGTCCTCCTCTTTGGTCCACAGGCTTCTCCCCTCCACGGTTCCTGGTGTGGCTCCCCCATGCCTGGCAGTCCTTTAATCCTCAGATGCGCTCCCTTTCCGACTCTTTACCGCTCTCTATCTCTCTCCGTCTCTTTCTGTCGCGGCTGATCCTCACAGACTAGCGGAGCCCAGTGATCCCTCCCTCCCTCTCTCTCACTCACTCTCCCTCTCATTTTCCCTTTTCCCTGATCGATCGGTATCTGTTTGTGTCTGCTGCAATTTTTTTCATTAACTCTGACAATTCTCTGGAATTTCTTAACGCTGTTGTTGTCCTTCTTTTTTTTTGTCCCCCCGCTGAGTCACTTTATTCTGATTTTGTCCCCGTGCTGGTGGTTGGTTTCGGTGCTGTGCCCTGCTTTCAGCAGACGTGCTCGTGTGTGTGCTCACACTGACCGTGTCAGGTCCTGGGAGCAAAGCCAAGACGCACACACTGAGACACACTCCTGTTTCAGTCGTTCACTTTATTCATATCTTTTCACTTTAGTGCGAGAACAGCTGGCTCAGATTAAGACTGTCTCGTCTCCATTTGCAGTTTTTGCTTTATCTACCCGGGTGACTGCGTGTCACTCTCCTCTCGGAGCTGTTTAGTCACTGTCCTGCTCTTCCCTGCCCCACTTTGGACAGGTCCTCCTATTCTGTCGTCCTCTTTCATCTCCATTTCTCACACTCCTCTCACCCAGTGTGTCTGGCTGTCCCAACACTCCCCACGCCTCAGTCTTTTAGGCTTTTTCCCATTTTGATTTCTTTCTTGTAACGAATTATGTGTGTAGATGCATCAAGAAGACAGTACAATAAAATATATTTTTTACATTACATTTGAATGATTTCTAATTATGGATGCTTTGTTTTCTCAGGATGTCTACTCTGTCATTAGTTCACAGACTAATGTTCTACAGATATTAGAGGTGTGGACTTATTAAGACAGACTGATAATGCACGACTTTAGTGAAGTCTTTTGTGTTGTGCTTCTTTATGACAACCTGGAGGTTTTCTTGGCGCAGCATCCTTGGGATGTCCCTTCTGACCCCTCCCCCAGCCGAGAGTAAGTGGTAATATATGTGTTAATACCACAGCAAAGTGGTTGACCAACCTTGTGTTGTATTTCAATTGACCTCCACTGAAACCTCCAGTGAAACACACAAAGTGATGACAAACTGCAGATATTTACCCACATTGCACATTGTATAATATGCATCTGCTCAGCAATTTGCAAATCTTTACAGTACCTTAGATAGTTGTACTATACCAAAATCCAATTCTAAGGAACTGTAATTTTATTTCTAATTTACAATTTGCTTTCTACCATTTGTTGTTCGGCTCCACTTGACCTCTCTCCTCTCTTTAGCTTTCTCTCTCCCACAAGTATCACATGCATGTATCTCTGTGTACTTGACCAGGTCAGATGAGGGTGAGGGCACACTGATCTGTTTTCTGATAGACCATTCTGCCGCACAGACCACATATCTCTCTGTCTCAGAAAAATACATACACGTTGACGCTCACGAGAGGTCTAATTGCATCTGGCTACAAGCCTGTGGGGCCCGTGTGTACCTTTAACCCCACAGTACTGTCCATGCTTTCACCTCTGTCCCCAGGATGAAGCAACCCGTGTGTGTGTGAGTGTAACAGAGGTGAGGTGAGCATGAGTCTGTCGGGGAAAGCTGCCTGCTGCCAGTGGGACTGTTCATTTTTTATTTTTAGATAGTCCCTTCACGGGAAATAATTTAAAAAATCCCTGTTGAAAGCAATGTAATGATCCCTTCAACCTGGAAAAATGCCACAAATGGAAGAAAAAAGAAACAAGGGCGAGGAGAACAGAGGCAGAATACAGGAATTAATTAAGTGTTGTGTTAAAGGCATCAGTGGTCTTCATGTAGAATTAGTTGAATAGATTGTTGTTGTCCTCAGCTTCAAACTGGAACTAATTTATTAAAGTGATTAGTTCTATTTCTCAGTTTCTCCATAGCATTTGTAAAAGAATTTGCAATGTTGTTGAAAGGTGAGAACACAAAAGATGCCAAAAATATAGTCAGTTAGTACTTAGTGGATTGCCTGATATTTGAATAGGTGGGTAACAAAAGGTTTTCATTGTTCATGCTTTCATACTCTGTCGTCATTTTACATATATGGACTGTGTCTTGTTGTAGGTAGATTTGCATTTCAGTTTTTAATGAATGGACATAGGTAATAAGATAAACTGTTGCATTTTCTTTTCTTTTCTAAGTTTTTGTGTATTTTTGTGTTGATTTTTTTTATCCAGTCACTGAGTTAAAATTGCAGGTCCTTGGGTTCTGCTTTGTCAAACTGAGGGTTGTTATTTCCTTTTATTCAATTTTATTTAATTCAGACATTTTCAAAGCATAGAAATTTGTTAAAGATTAGAAGTGAGCATGACTACAGTGAGATAATTGATAAACAGAGAGAGAGAGCAGGAAGGAGAGCAGTTGAAATGAGGAAAAATGCCCAGCCTCAACAGCATCCATGGCCTGTTTTTTGTCAGTAATCCCGTCAGTGTTGTGTAAGGGTGCTGCCTCAACATGCCCTGCAGTCCCTCCCCGTGTGAGATGCATGATACTTTTACTGATATACTCTATGCAAGCGTGCCGTCCATTCTTTTTAGCATGTCTTTCAACGTGTTAATCAAACACCTTCTTGTGAGAAGGCGCAAACAGTTTGGCCCCTTGAGCCTCTCTTTTTATTTGGGTGGTGTTAAAGGTGATTTTGACTAAAGGTCCTCAGAGAGCCACAGTCCCAGTGAAGTAGGGCAATATGATATGTGACGTCCACCTCCAAAGACAAACATGCACAAACACACAAGTGCGGTGAACATAAAGCCAGAAAGTACTTAGCTGGAGAGTAATTCTGGTAAGTGACTGAGTGTGTGGGTGGGTTTTTAATCCTATTACTGTTCAGCCATTGCACACTAAAGAGGCAAAGATGGAGGAGAGAGACAGGGTAAGTTAATTGTGCTGCTCGGCCCTTTCTATTGCTGTCTGCTACCTGGGGGCGGAGGACATAAATTTGTGTACTTACGTAATTTAAATTCCCACCACCTTGTCAGCAGAACTGTCAGATACATTGTTTTTGACATGGAGGTTCACTGTTAATGCCAGGGGTTAGTTTTAATAATGGAATAATTGGATTCTGGGTTATAAACGACATTTGAGTAACCTGTGCTTTCCGTAATTAGTTGCTCCTTAGGTGTCAAAATGGTTATCCCTCAGCCATTTAATAGGGTATCTTGTGAAAAAGGCAAGTAAAGAGGGGAAAAAGTGATCAATAAATGTGCGTGTGGTCTGGTGTCGCTACACTGCAAGTGACTACACTCAGAACTGAATAGGCTCAGAGGGAAGTTGTTTATGGACTGAACTCAAACACATCCTGAAACACACTGTACAGACACCCAGTTACGAGTCTGAAAACAGTTTGCATGCCAGACATTTTTCTTTGGAACTTGAAATGAAATATATATTGTTTTAGAGATGAAAAATATATTCGCCCATGAGAATTAAGGCAAGTACAAGCACACATCCTACTCATTTTGATTAGATGGAAGCTGTCACCACATTAAATGTCTTCTATTAGTTATCCAACATTCTTCTTCTCTGTTTCTTGTTTGCCTTTTCTCCTACCCTTTTTCTCTACACCTGCTCTGTTCTCTTAAATGGATCTGTTAACCTGCTGTAATCTTGAAAAGAGAAGCACAGAGTAAGGGTCAGGAAAAACTCCTTTATATTAGAAAACTGCAAAAAATATATGTAGTTGGGTGAAATGAACACATATGCCCAATTATGTCTGACGGTCATTTGCATTTGTTTTCATGAATAATATTTTTTCCTTTTTTTCCTTTTTCTTCTCCTTCCTCTGTTATCATCAACTAGCTTTTCATATTTAGCTTTTGTCTGCTTTTGTGTACTCTCCCTGGGTCATATGCACAGCAAAGGACTCATAATGAAGACTAAATGTTTAATTAAAATCTGAATACTAAAATCTTGCTTGAAGTGAATTTAAATTAAAAAAGAAACATTTACCTGGAAGCTCAACATCTTATTGTCTGGTATGATAAAGATGATCTTTTTAGATTTCTCAAAGATATGACAGTTTATAGTGTCTGTCAGTTTGCCACTATGAAATCACAACTTCTTTCATTTGACATTCTTTTCCGCTTTGCCTTACATGTGAAATGATTTTCTGTTCGTCTTTGAAAAAAATCCTATGAAAAATGTTACCAGGAGTTCTAAAGTCATCTTTACTCTCTATGACTGGCTGTGAACAAAGACTCTAAAAGCTTGCAGAAAATATTTTTAAACCTCACCTTGCCACAGTGTTGCAGAGGCTGCTGCTCCTCCTGGCAGTAGTTCTGTTTGTAATAGCGATTATGATAATTTCTACAATGCTTAGGTAACAATTTGTTGGCATGAAAGCATCTATGAAATAACATTAGAAACATGATTTCTTTTGTTGCTGATTGTGCTACTGTTTGTTCCAAGTCTGGACCGGTTCAGTAAAGCTTGGCAAAATTCGCCAAGTGACAGAATAGGTGATAGGATGTTTTTGAAATCCTTTTTTTTTGCCTTGGATGTGATGCTGAAACTAATTTCCCCCCTTGTCTTTTGCTTTAGATGTGTCACGTACACTGAGAGTGTTGCACTGCTGAATGACTGATTCTCCATTTCTTCTCTTTTTACTTCCTTAGTCAAGAGTTGTCTCCTGCATGACAGCTATCCTCAGCCAGATGGATGATCATCATTATGATACATACATAGAAACCTTCACAGGAACCACTGATTTAGTGGTAAGTGTACTTCCATACATCCAGATCTCTGTCTGCCATTTACTCAAAGTGAGATAAATAAAACTCACAAAGTCATTGTGTTTGCACGGAGATACAGTGAATTTATTTATACAGTGAATATATAACAATTCTCTCCTTTGTTTCAGGACTTCCTCATGGAGTCATTTCTGCTTTTCAAGGATCTTATTGGGAAACATGTGTATCCCTCTGACTGGATGGCCATGATCATGGTACAGAACAGGTATAGCACAACAAGCATAGACACTCACACAAACAACTCTTTTTATGTTCACAATTCACGATCTCCTCCCCTACGTGTAAAGGGGCCTTCTGATGGGCCCATAAGGCCTAGTTCTGCTTTTCAAAGGGTTTCCAGAAAAGTGACTTGTTCATTTTGCAAACCAATACCAGGACAAGTCAGACAGTAAAACCGGGATCAAGGCTGCAATGGTGAAACGGCTGATGTGACAAATGTGTCTGTGTGTTGAGCTGACAGAGCAAAATCTTTCAGTGATATATTTATTTATTTTTGGAAGCAACCAGAGGGAAGGATAAAGCTGTGTCCGAGAGGAAGGCCAGTAGATAAAAGGGAAAGCGAAGTCGAGGAAAAGACAGGCTGATAAGAATTCTGGAGACAAGGGTTCGGGAAGAGATGTGAGGCTGAAAAGGGGAAAGCACCTCTAAATAGGAAATGAGAGAAGGGGAATGAGATGGATGCCATTAGGCTCAGGTTAATGGTTATAGATTGACAGTGTTTGAGCCAGGACAGCTTTGGATAGCATTGCTTCCGAAGGTGAAAATGAAATGCACATTACACAGGTACGCTTGTGCTCTTTTTAGAATTGCAATGTTGTTATCACCGTGATAGAGGGTTTGTTTCTAAATGTCACTGCGTTTCTGGAAAACAGGGGTCAGGCACTTATCTACTGGTCCAAATTGTTCTAAATGAAACCCCATTTCCACTTGTTGCACAATCTCTGTTTTTCCTGTTTTTTACATTTGTTTTTTGGTATTGCTTTTTTTCATTGGAAGGAGCGCATTGTAACATAAATCTTTATTAAAAGATTTTGTTAAAATGTTGATAATAATGCACTTTTGAATATTGAGACTAAAATTTTACCCTGAAAAAATTGACTTACCTTTTTAAGAATACAACAGGAAATAATTTCCTTCCTTTTCATTTAAATTAAAGTAAGTTTGACTCACAATTACATTTTTTTAGATGTACACACCTCCCAAAAAAATCCCAATATATTACTAATATCATGCATCTGCAATAAACTAACAACATGAGACTATTTATTACTTGTTTGGCATCTTTTTTCATAAGTGTGATTTACATGTCTCCTCTCATCAGAGTGTTCCTGAGAGCCATCAATACCTACGCCGACACCATGAATCAAAAGTTCCTCAGTAATGATGACTTTGAAGTACAGGTAAACATCCATGGTGGCTGCCTCATATTCCTTTCATAGATTGCAACCTTTTCTATAACATGGGCCTCATTAAAGTCTTTTGCTTTCCTTCTCTTTTATCACTGTCCCGCTCATAGCTGTGGAATAACTACTTCCACTTGGCTGTGGCGTTTATTACGCAGGAGTCTCTGCAGCTTCAGCATTTCTCACCAACGAAAAGGAACAAGATTCTTGTCAAGTGAGAGTGCAGCCATTCAATTTCCCCTATTTACCACAACCACGTTTCCCATATTAATGTACCTGCCTATTAAAACTCTGTAGCACCCGTAGTGAGACAGTCCAGTCTGGTGACATGGATGTGTGCAGCATGGCACCCCGTTGCTCGTTCTTCTTCTGAAGGCAGAGAGATCAGTCTTGATTAGATAACTGCTTTCAAATTAAGGATGTCATTTTTTCATGTCTTCCCCCTCCCCCCCCCCATCTCCCCCATATACTTTGTCTCAAACACTTCATTTCAGATACGGAGATATGAGAAGGCTCATTGGCTTCGCTATTCGCGACATCTGGTACAAACTAGGTGAGAAAATTGGGCATGCTTTTCTTACCTTTAAGAATGCCGTTACTTCACGGTACAACGATAACTTTATGGATTCTTTTACACCTACAGATAGGGAAAAATCTTTAAAAAACACAAAAAACACGAAGGTGCACTGATGAGTTATTGATGAAAGTTGCATACTGTCTGTTATCTTAAACATCCCCAAGTAACTACATCAGACTGGAGTCTGAATCCATATTAATCTACGGATACTGATAATTGAAATTAGTTTTACTGTTTACTCTATTTTGATGTTGGACAAATTCTAAAACGGCAAATATCCTAGAGCAGAGAACTGAATTAAGTAATAAATGTAATGTACATTTGCATAATCTGGGATTCTTGTCTTGCAGGCAGTCATAAGATCTGCTTTATCCCTGGCATGGTCGGTCCCATCTTGGAGATGACTTTGATCCCTGATGAGGAGCTGAGAAGAGCCACCATTCCCATCTTCTTTGACATGATCACGTGTGAAAACACACAGTTTGGGAACTTCCAAAAGGTGCACACAAGCAGTAAATTATATAAGAAATATCCATATTCACATGAGACTGGAAACACATAGAGCAACAATAAAGTATGTCAATTGTCTGAGACACAAAGCCCACACACATCTTGACTTCTGTCATTGGTTTCATGCAGAGCTGCACACAAAAGTAAAATTGACACCTTCATTAAAATTTCATTAAGGGTTTCCTCTTCCACCGCTTTTCTCTTTGGTTTTTTACGCTTCCCTTTTGTTAACTAAATTTTTTCATCTTCCCTTCTCTGCCTCTTTATGTCTTGTGCAGTTTGAGAATGAGATCATTCTGAAGTTGGACCACGAGGTGGAAGGTGGAGGAGGAGATGAACAATACATGCAGCTGCTGGAGACAATGTAGGCCTCAGTGCTAGAATGTAACACTTGACATTGCTTCAAAATTGGCTGGTTTTGTTATACTTCATATACAGTAGTGTGTGCTGTAGTTTTCGTGCTAATTGTCTGGTGCAGACAAAGAGAGGACCCAAACCTGCTGCTCTGAATGCAAACGGCTATCAGATGTCACTGATAATTAAGTTGTGGGTGCTTGTTTGCCAGCTTGCTGGACTGTGCTGCCGAGAAACACGCGCTGAAGCCACAGGTGCAGCACTTCGTCTCCTTGGTGAAAGGTCTCCTAATTCGTCTCCTTGACTACCGCACCGTGATGAGCGATGACAGCCGCAACAACCGCATGAGCTGCACCGTCAATCTTCTGGTAGGTCAATCAGCAGTCACCAGGCAGAGTTGCCTTCCAGCCTTTTAAAGACTGGCAGATGTCAAAAACTGTACACATTACCACACTGTTTGAATGGGTTTCCCAAGCGGCATCTTGTTCAGTATCACGTAACCAATGTACAAAAATGAGGATCCTGGAAGTTCACCACCCTGACGTAGACATAAATTACTTTGGATGGGAAATTCCTTTCCACGTTTCTTTATCGGTTAGTGATCGTATGATTTGTATTACGCGGTACTTTGTAGCAGGGGAATTGAACCCACAATGAAATGAGTGCTGATTTCAGAAGTCAACACAAACAACAACACAATCCAATAAATTCATTATCAAAGAAACAAAGATTCCATACAGATTTCAGTCAGTTACGTATGGACATCAAAGGAAGCTACAGACTGATTGAAGTGTTAGCATGGATCATTTGTCTGGTCTCTCGAGCCAGTGTCTTTATGTTCCTTTTCAACATTTTGTCTGTGTGCTGATAGGTCTGAAGATTTCTTTCTCCATCCCAAACTATTTACATTTGGTTGCATCAGCTTTTGTCTGTTGCACATCCTCCTTTTTGTGTGATCTCCTAAACAGTTTCTTCTCCATGGTATTCTAAGACACGAAGTGGATGCCATCTACCCAGAATATTGTCATTTCCACTTTGTAATCACAATACAAACTTTGTCTCCCTTTTCATTGGATTTTTTAATACATCTTTTAGAACGTATCAGTGATTCAGATGTTCAGAGGGTTAGTACATCGTTAATAGGGATGTATTTTCTCCTATTCTGCTTTAGAAATAAGCCGCTGGTACATGGCAGAGGTGTTTTGCTTGAAGCTTGTGACTTCTGGCCTTTAGCTATTCTGTTTTATTTATTGAGCCAAACAAAAAAGTCTTTCTGCAGGCTACCAAGCATTTGCACACTCTTGTATTTATGCCCTCCAGACTAACTCCACTGAGGAAGACTACGTGTGCATTCACCAGTGTGTACAGTAGCCTGCTGAGGCAGATGCACACAGTAGACTCACTTGTATTTTCAAAGAGTTAAAATAAAAAAAACTGACTGCATATTTCCATAGTTGATTGTAAGTGGACTGCATACACATACAGTAGATATATAGCTTTAAGCAGCTCACACTGGGATTTTATCAATCTTTTTCATTTGATATTAGATTGTGTTGTATGTTGGTAAAGACGTGGGCTTCTGCACGTAAACCACACCCTGCTCTTCATAAACTGCCCATGTAGCAGTGCCATCAATTACATCTTTTGCACATGCGAAAATCGACGTATAAGTCATCAGCCAAACACAGTGAATTTTATATCCGACTTAAGAAAAAATAGCTTTGCTGTTTTTTTATACCAGTACTGTTGTGGTATGTCTGTTTTACTGGTAATAAAAAGCTGGGTTACATGAGTTCGTTCCACTCCTCTGTTCTCTGTAGATATCATTAAACTTCATTAAACTGGGAATACTGCACAAACACACAAGGACACACTCCCACACATTACCTCACACAGGCCACCAGAAACATGCAGGGAAATACGTTAGTTGTAAGGCCTCGTTGTGACAAATACTCAGATATAAAAACGAATTACAGCAGAACTGAAGTATTGCAGGTCTTTAAAGTCTTATTGGATATCTCTTTAAAATAAGCTTTTTGTCCATGTCTATATTCAAAACACATACACTAATTTTGCTAACCAAATCTCTCCTTTTGCTCTTGCAGAACTTCTACAAGGACATCAATCGTGAAGCCATGTACATCAGGTATTTGCACTTCATGCTGGATTTAACATAGAATGTCACTAAATTTTGTACTGTCTGTGTTGTACGTGCGTGCACAGATACGCATGTCTGGGTGTGTGTTCTTGTGTGTTTCTGACTCTATAATCTGACAAGGGATTATATGAGTTCCACTGAATTAATGTCAAAATCCACGGGATCAGATGGTGGTCTGACCGCAGAGTACAGAGAGAAACATGATGAACAGGAGGGAGTTGGAAATACAGGAAGCTAGCAAGTGAGAGACATAAAGAGAGACCAGAAATGGGGAAAATAAATGTTGTCAGGTTTCACATTTAGGTTGTGACCTTAGACAAATTAGTTATCTCTACTTGTGAAAGAATGCTTAAGCCAGAGAATGAATTATGGATGCTGTCATCTCTGCTGAGAAAACAATCAGCTGAAATCTCAGTATGAATAATCTTACCATAAACTTACAAATGGACCAAACTTTTATAAAAAAATAAGAAAAAAACAGTAGACACAACATATTTCTCACATAACCCTGTTACATATTTTTAAGATAATATATTAAACACATGAGGGTTCTGGGTTCGAGTCACCAGGGGAACTAGGACCTTTCTGTCTGGAGTTTGCATGTTCTCCCTGTGTCTGCGTCGGTTCTCCCCAGTTCTCCGGCTTCCTCCCACTGTCCAAAAACCTGCATGTTAGGTTGATTGGACATTCCAAAATTGCCCTTAGGATTGAGTGTGCATGCTTGTGTGTCTCTGTGTCGCCCTGTGATGGTTTAAAAAAAAAAAAAAACTATTTCAGATCATTTATATGCTTTAGTTCATGTAGAAATTTTCATCATGTGTTTTCTATTTTTTAACAACATGTCTTGCTGTTGTGAAAATAGGCTGTATCCCTATTATGCTAAAGAATACAGCTTTTAATGCTTGCAGAATATAGGAAATATACAGCTGCATCTTCCTTTATTTGGCTTTTAAAACAAAGTCAGTTCTTAGATAACTGGTATGAGAATAAAGGAGGACAGAGGTGTAGGAGGGGTGAAGCAATAAAGGAAAAAGGAGAAGCATATTGAACACGGACAGCTGCGAGTTTATTAAAGCTTTATTCAACATAAGTTTTTACTTTTTTTATTTACACAACCAGTAACTGTCATAATTAACAGGCCAAAATCCACAAATCCCCTGATATTCATTTGAGTTAAAAGGGATAGAAGATGAGGCTTCAAAATATAAAAGAAAATTAGTTGTGCATCATATGTGTGTGGTAAGTGCATCCCTCTTCTAGAAGCTGATAGGGGATTGTTTATTTAAAGGCATCAAGAAGTCATTGCTTTTCTACTTTGTCATCCAAGCTTTATCAACAAAGCTGAGCCTCAAGCCATGGAGCAAGTCAAAAGACTGATACACACAAAGATAGCAGCAGCAGACCTGTCCCGTTTTCTTTTCTGATTTCATCTTTTATTTTTGTGCATTACACACAAAATGCTCAACACCGGAGGCGTTGCAATCCAGAAAGCTGTGCTGGGACGCAAGTAAAAACCTGCTGCTTGTTTGAAATGCCTCATTAGATGTGCAGTGTGGGCTCTTCTTTTCCTAACAGTGCACCTTCACTATAAATGAAACATGAATTGCTGCATTTGTTTAACTCAACATTATTTTGAATGTTATATTTAGCATTGAACAAAAAAATAACATTAAGCTAGAGAGCTTTGAAATATATGCCATCAGCACTCGCTTACAGTACTTCAAACAACTATGTCAAAATGAAATGTAATGAACAGAGTCATGCAGTAAATAAGGTCATGCTAAGTACCTTTAGTGTGATCAAAGTATGTTTTGATAGTACAAACAATACCAATTTTAGTGAACATGTAATACAATGGGAATAAGATCATCAGTAATAATGCACTTTAAAACTCACTTCAGTTCCATCTGGTCATCACATCTAAATCACAATGCTGGTCTTTGACTGCTCCTCTGTATGCTGTGATGACCAGGAAACTGCCATGTCCACATCATGTCTGGCATTTTGGCCATTTTTGTTTATTTATTTTTTAAGGAACTTGACCGTGCACCCGTGGATCTTGTTCGAGCTTGTGGATCATTACAGGGCAACAAATACCTGTAACATTTAAAAAGCATGTTAAACTGGGCTTCTGTGTGTACTCATGAATGATCTTGTGTAGAGCTCGTATTTTTAAGACGTGTGTGTGAGGACTGGAGAGAGATGTGCACGCGGACAAACACTATTCATAAATGCTTTATTTATAGTCTTCACGACTGCCCAACACTGGCATCTTGTGGAGTGATGCCGAAGTTATTCAAAACTTGGCTGACTTGCATGCATGTGTCTTCAGATACTTGTACAAACTGAGGGACCTCCACCTGGAGGGGGAAAACTACACAGAGGCAGCCTACACCCTGCTGCTCCACTCTCGACTGCTCAAGGCAAGACACACACATTTAGACCTGTTTGTTGGTCAGCGTTGGACTCAGTTCCCTGCTCTGTAATTACTTCTCCAACTGCAATGAATGGAACCTTTGTTTTTCCCTGATAAATGGTTGTTCCATTGTGTCAGCTAGGGCAGCTATAGCACTATAGTGATTGATACAGTGAGTGGGTTTGTGTGTGAAGGGGTGTGTGCACATGTGCCGCATGTTTACTGCTCACACAAATGTCTGGAGTATTGTCTGATATTATATAATGAATTAAACGCAGCTTCTGCCCACTGTGCTTCAGTCTAACATTGACTTATCATAACAAATAAGCTTTGTTTAAACTCTTTCTCTGAGTTATCTAATGAAATAAGATTTTTAGTTCTCTCTTCCATTTCTGTGTCTTCATGTCTTTCTGTGTTAGTGGTCAGATGACAAGTGTAGCCCTCAGTTTGAATTCCACGGCTCTCAAACACAGCGGCAACTAAAAGAAACACTCTACGACACCATCATTGACTACTTTGACAAGGGCAAGGTCTGTATGATTTTAGATTTATTTTGTTACATGCAGCAACTAATATCATCTTTAAAATTGCCCATGGAAATTGATTTGATTATTTGGAGTAATAATAGCAAGACCAGAATCATTTGTAGCAATCCTGTCATGTGTCTACTCGGTTTAAGTCCCATTCATTGTGTATTCTCTAAGTCAGCTTCGTACTCTGAAGCATAGAGATTTGCCAAGCCTCTGCAGACACCTTAAAACCAATTTCCATTTATGAATTCTTGGCAGACTGATTTATTAGCAGATGGAATATTAAAAAAGATATTTGTTTCTTCTGTTTGTATGTGTTTCTAGATGTGGGAAGAGGCCATCACTCTGTGCAAAGAACTGGCTGAACAATATGAAAATGAGATCTTTGACTATGAATTACTCAGCAGGAGACTGGTAATAAATCAGTATTGTACATCTTCGTATTATCTGCCCAACAAACACAAACTTATTGTATTCTGTTCCACCTGATCCCCCTTGGTTATATTGTCTCTATTCCCTTGGTATTACCTTGGTAGATATTTTAGATCATCATGGATAATTATGCCATGGTTTTAGGATATCAGTGGTAAAACACTTCAAAGCAGTTGTTTCCTGTTGAATCTTTATTTAGTTTGATACTTCAGTAACACTAATTGGCATGTAAGTATCCAGTATTTTGGCTGGTATTCGATTTCCCTGATTCAGATTTCCATATTCAAGATGTAGATTGCACAGTTTAAAAAAAAACACTATTACCAATAATATGCATAATCACACATTCATTCATGTAAACATTTATAAATGTATCTATTATGACTATACTATTAATACTATATTTCCCCAGCAGTGTAGTTCATTACCAGTTTAATTATATTCAGATCACTCCTGTTGTAACTCATTTGGTCATCTCAGTCACACTGGCTGTCATGACCAACATCTGTTTGACCTCTTCCCCAACAAGAATTGCACCTTTGTGAACAATGGCAAACACCCCCCCCGATATGACTGCTGCAGTGGCTCTCTCAGCTAATGCCAAATTTATGTGGTTATATAAATGACAGCCATTGCCCTTGGATGGCGTGCCCTGTTTTCCCCGTGTCTATCACCCCTCACAGGCCCGGCATTCTGCTGAGGATAGCTTTGTCATTGCTATGAACTGATTAAACCGCCCAAGTGCACACGGTGCACATCTGAAAGTCTGCCCTGGACCCATCCCTGTTTTCTCTTCCTGGCTCCCTCCGCAGGAAAAACAAGCCAAGTTCTACGAGAACATTATGAAGATCCTGAGACCCAAGCCTGACTACTTTGCAGTTGGCTACTATGGACAAGGCTACCCTCCATTCCTCAGAGTTTGTATTTATGTCTCTTTTCTATGATAATATATTATCATTAGTTTGATCGAGCTGACTGCTTGATATTGACACTATTCAATAAAGTTATGCCAACTTCTTTCCATTTTAAAAATAAGAAAAAGAAGATGAAAAGAAGGATTGCAGTGGATATAACTTCACATTTACGACGAAAACATGATGAGACAAAAAGTACAATCTTGGAACATTAAAGATTTATTTGTGCAAGTACAGATTAAATCAATTGGATATTTTTTGCACTTTATAAGTTGAGATTTTGTAGGAATATGATTAGGTCAGCCAGTCAGCCTTAAGAGGGCAGTAAAAGAAAAACAAAACTTTTTGCATTTTTTTCTCTTGGGAGGAGCATTCTCTTTACAAACACTTCATGAATAATTCTTTACATTACGGCCTTTTCATGACCACTATTAAAATGTGTTTTTCTCTTGGCCGCAGAACAAGGTGTTTATTCACCGTGGTAAAGAGTACGAGCGCAGAGAGGACTTCCAGAACCAGCTGATGAGCCAGTTCCCTAGCTCTGTTCGCCTCAACACAACCACCATGCCAGGAGATGACATTAAGAACTCTCCACATCAATGTATCCTTTGGGCACCAAAACACAAAACCACATTTCCAGAATATTAATGAGCTGCTTCTACATATTTGACTGTCTCACTTGGATAGAAATCTACTTTTAATGAGCAGCTCTTAACCTTTAGGATTTATAAATATCTGGGTGACAGGAACCAATATAAGAGTAAACATTAATATCATACTGCCAACAGTGTCTCATAAAGGGAAATGTCACAAGACCCACAAGCACAAAGATATTTGCCAAATGCGAGCTTTGTGTATACTTGATCATTTTAACCTCCCACTTCTAGTCTTAATCTACATTGAACTGTGCTTCGGTTTGTTTTTGTTGTCTCTGTATATCAGACCCCAGCACTGGAGGCCGGACACATCTCTGAGCAATAAGTTTCCCATTTCTGACACAGGAATTGTGCGAAACCATCTGCCATGCTGTGAAAATGTTTCTAAGCGATCTAAAACAGACATCCAGTGTTTCACAGTGCAGCCAGTCTTGGAGATCCCTCCTCGCCTGAAGAACAAACCAGTACCCGACCAGATCATCAAGTCAGTGCTGTCTACCTCTGCGTGGCTTTGTTAGATGAAATGTGTCTGGCACTTCTTCTTGTTCTCATTGTCTATAGCTACCTTTTTTGTGAATTATTTCTTATCTTTGCATTATTTATTGTCACACGTGTCCGCTTTTATCTTCTTGTACAATTTAGCTTCTATAAATCCAACTACGTGCAGCGCTTCCACTATTCCAGACCTGTGAGGAAAGGACCTGTGGACCCAAACAATGAGTTTGCTGTGAGTTACGGCAGTTTACTATTTGATTCAATACAGTCATATTGTAATTTGTCCATTTTGAATTGCTGTATATATTTCAATATAACTTATACGAGTATGGGTTTTCACAAATGGCAGCATAATCTACAGCTCTGCTTTTTTCTCCTCTGTTTCTCTTTTTGGATTAGTCCATGTGGATTGAACGAACAACCTTCACCACCGTGTATAAGCTGCCTGGGATCCTGCGCTGGTTTGAGGCTACTGACCTGAAACATGTAAGTCTTTGGGGCAGGTTTTTACACAGTTGAGAAGCAATATCCTCTTCAGTGCACCATGTACCACAATTTTTCTCACTGATTAAATTTGCTGATGGTTGTTGTTCTGTCCTCCTTTTCTAATATCTTTTCCTGTTTTGCTCCTCTGACCCATTGCTACGTCCATCCTCTTCTCCAGACTACCTTGTCTCCACTGGAAAATGCCATAGAGACCATGGAATCCACCAATGAGAAGATTCTGACCATGATAAACCAATACCAGGCAGACTGGAGTCTTCCCATCAACCCCCTCTCCATGTTACTCAATGGCATTGTGGACCCAGCTGTCATGGGTGGTTTTGCCAAATATGAAAAGGTACATTTTTGGCTAAAAAAGATCAGCTATTCTTTATAGTCCCACATGGAACTTTAGTGTCTTGATGTCTTAGAATATTGCAGTGAATAAGATTCTGATGTAGTTTTTGCAATGATAGATTGATTATTATCTATACATTTATTATTTATTCAAACGGTCAATCCACTAATGACTCCTCTCAAATCATTGTCAAATGGATTTGAATAGACCTTGCGGTTACTGACATGCTTTATTGTTACTAATGTTGGATATGTCTTCTGAATCAGGCGTTCTTTACTGAAGAGTACACTCAGCAGCACCCAGAGGACAGAGAGAAACTGATGCGGCTTAAAGACCTCATCGCGTGGCAGGTACAGAACACATCCACACAAATCCTCACACACACAGACAGTCACGGAGTTTAGAACTTCTGTGTATTGATTTGTTGACTTAATGGCTTGTATTTGCAGATCCCATTACTGGGTGGAGGAATCTCTCTCCACGGGAAGAGAGTGACGGACGACCTGCGCCCTTTCCACGAGCGAATGGAGGAGTGTTTCAAGCAGCTGAAGAAAAAAGTAGAGAAAGAGTATGGAGTGAGAGAATTGGTAAGAAAAAAGTTGAGAGAAAGAAGAGAGACGGAAATGCGGAGAAATTGAAGCCTTAAGATTCAGAAATATCCTACTGTGATACATATCCCTTTTTCTGTGTAAAGGCCTGACAACCAAGTTGCAAATTTGCTGACTGGCAAATTTACTCATCAAAGCACCCCTAAAACCCCTTGAGTAAAATATTCATGAGGGATTTGTAACTCAGAATTTCTCCACAGCCAAAACAAAGTTTGGATGCTTTGAATTGGGGGGTGGGGGGGGCAGATGGGTATTAACTTCTAAACAGTTTCTGCCCTTGGGGAAAATTACACTAATGAGAGGAGGGATAAAATACCATCAGAAGTATGGCTATGGCTGTGCTGTAGGGATGCATGATATTAGAAAAACATGCATGGAGTTTCATTTTCATTTTTTGGTTGATATTGTGAGTTATACAAACAAATTAATATTTATGGTATAATCTGAGTCTTTTGATGGGGGCTGTGCCTTACTTTTGTACCTTTGCATGCTGGTTAGTTCTGCACAGCAGCAGGTAGGTAGGAGCCCTCATTAGTTACTCCCGTGCTCATCCTATTTCACGTTTCAAATGTCTCTGTGACACTGATATCTGTGAATATGGATGACTCTTTATGTGTTCCACAACCCTTTTCCACTCTCTTCTGCTTTTTCTATTGTTCCTGCACCTGATGATTTATCATCGTCAGAACTGTGTCTTTGTGTTGCGTTTCCACTATGGTTTCATATTTCTTATCCAATTTTTCTGTATTTCCCCAGCCTGACCTGGATGAGAGAAAGTCGACTCGCCCTCGCTCCATGCTTCGCTCCTTTCGTCAGTCCATAATCTCCATCTCATCGCTGCAGGGGTCTGAATGTGGAACGCCAACCAAGTCTCATGTTGACAGGTAGCATGGCTGATAAATAGCCACCTCAAATGATTACTACTTCGGTTGGTACTATATAACTGATTGAAATAACTGGGAGCCATTTTTTAACCCTTTCGATTGACCGTTCGTGCACCCCACCATCTCCTCTCAGAGACATCCCCCCTGACTCGCCAAACTCATGGACCAACTCCCTGCAGCGCTCCAGCGGCAGTGTCAGCATGTGCAAAGTGGACGAAGGAGTGGTGACGGTCGGCGATGCAGAGGTCCGATTGAGGAGGAGCAAGAAGAAAAAGAAAAGAAGCAGCATGATCTTCATCACAGAGGAAAGAGAAAGAACAAGCACACTGGACTGCAAGCGGGTGAGATTTGTTGTAAGACCTGAGAGAAGTTAGAGAATGACAGGGACAAATATAGGAGGGGAGAACTGAGACAGTGGCATGCAGGTGCAGAAGTCAGAGGACGGTTGATGTGTTGTTGAGGGACTCAGAAGTTTTGTATGATCTCTGTCTCCCTCTAGCTGTCCAAGAAACAGGAGTTCCGCAGCGACACCAACTTGTCTGAGCCAAATGAAGGAAATGTGTCGCTTACCAATGCCAACTCCAGATCTCTGCCGGCCATCACAGGTCTCACACACACACACATTGAACTTTAGACAGACAACTGTCACAGAGGGGCATTTGCATAACAAGAGTTCACAAAGTCAAAAACAAATTTTGGGAAGATGAAAACTACCATTTGTGATGGGAAACTGGTAAATGTTGTGTCATCGTGGCAATAAGCCATCTCCATGTGATAATTTACCGATTACTAATACCAATTACTAATGAACTATGAATTTACAACCTCAGATTAACGCCACCAGCTACAACTACACAAACACAATAAATGCTGCCAGAGCAGATCTTCATCAGCAAATATTGAACAAACAGTGACTTTGCTCTAAGATGAACATAACTTGTACTTAAAGACTATGTCTGGCCTTTCCTTTCCTTTATCCAGGGCTGTCCTTGACAGTGGCAGGTGGGACAGAGGAAGGGGACTCATCCAGATCAAAGAGGGACAGCAAGAGTATGTCTGTCTGCACCACCTCGGACCGAACAACAGACAGACGCTCAAAGGGTGTCATTAACCTGCTGTTTAAGTCCAAGGTAGACGAACGAGATTTCACAGAGAAAAATATCCCAAAGAGAATTGCCTGATGAATATCTGATTTTTGCATGACAAGCTAAGGTATCCGATTACTTACTACATACTATTTAAACAGTCCTTTTTGTTTTAAAGAAAACACTGAGTTATTTGCATCTTCACACATTGCAAGAGCTAATACAATGTCAACCTTTTTTTATTCTGGACAAAGCTTCTACATTTTCCCTCTAAAGAGTAATTTACTGACGAGAATATAAGAGAACAATCAGAAACTGTGTGAAAAAATAAATAAAAAATTATAGAGACTGAAAAACATATTAAAACATTAAAAAAAATTTTTTTTAAAGTACTTGAAAAAAAAAAAATCTCCATAGTCCTGTATCATGCAGGACGCAGAATGGATAAATGTGTAGCCAGGCCAACACAAATGCTTTAGTCATATTGTTAGTGCTCCATTCTGAGGGAAGACCTCGCTAATGAATGCTAAAAAGTAATTCACGACAAGAGATATAGAAATATTGTTAAATAATGTATGTGTGTTTGTTTCAACAGAGCTCCAGATCAGAAGACATGAAGCCCAGTGATCCAGCCAAAGACACTGACAATCATTTCTGAGATGTCCTATTTCAAATTTGTTTTCTTAACTGATTTACGACTTTCATTTTTTAACTTTTAAATCCCAGCCTGTCTTCACCATGAAAATAATGCACTCATTTACTTAGCCTTCCTGTTTGTCTTGATATCATTGTTGCCTTGAAACAATTGATGTCACCCATCAATAAAGGCTATTTTGGTTGACTGACCTTTTTTCTTGGTAATTTGAATGATTCCTAGTGAAGCTAAATGCCACCTTACAGCTTTTCAATCAATTCTGCTTATACTCGAACGAGCAAACACAAACTCCCCCCCACCAATGTGCTTGATTGAAAAGCTTCTTATTATACGGTTTTCAGCTTTGTTGTGACTGGAGATAATGAGGAAATAATAATTCATTAAAGCGCAAAGGTTACCGTGTCCTGGCGTGGGATTGAACTAGAACACTGCCAAAAACTCTCTGGCACTGATACAACTAACAGGAACCTAATGAATTTAAATAGTCAATAAACTTTGCACCCGTGTGCTCAGAAAGTTTGTGTGACAATGTGTTTTCCACGTCAAATCGTATTTTGTTAATGTCTTTATTGGTATGTTCTGTCTTATGTGTTTGACCTGAGATAGCATGTTTTCTAAAATCCAGAGTGAATATAGTTGAAATAAATCTCTCTCTAGTGTTTGAACACGCTGGCAAATCTCCCTCATCTTGTTTTCTAGTCGGATTAAACTTTGTATTTGAAAGTGGTGGGAAGAGCTGAGAGTGCTATTTCCTGTTGCCTCCAGGCTTCATCCAAAGCTTTGGGAATCATTTCCCTTCCCGGTTCTTCCTAAGGCCACTTTCAAACAACACCGAGATAGCTGTGAGTCTTTTCGTCAAACCATAAGGAATTACTTCATCTTAGATGGTGAATACTGGCACTGCTTAAAAATTCTAAGAGTAAAATTTGTATTCTATTTTTGTATAAAGGCAGCTTAATTTGATGAATATAAATTAGTCGCCTACGTGTTCTTAAATATGGAGTTAACAACTCACCTTTTCTAGTAAAACCGAAAAATAAAAACTAAATGCAGCATTATTAACTATTAATGAATTGGTTAATATAGCTCATTTGCCCTCTTGAGGTTTTATTTCCACATGGTCCTCCTTGAGATCTGTTCAGTGGAATTGCAAGTAGCCAGTGATTAAGAGCGATAGAAGCATGCCTCCCCGTTCTTATTAATGCTGCCATTAGCTGGTTCCACTCTGACCACCAGGTTTCTCCACAGCCAATTTAAAGTTGCAGGCTAGCCCTTAAAACTCATGCAAAGTCCAACACTTCAGCTCCCCTGTCTGGAACGTGGAGCTTTTAATTAAACCATTGCACCTCTCAGTGATTTAATTCCACAGACATCTATCTCACAAAATGGATGGATTGGGTCAGTGGGTAAGAGAAATTATAAGCAGTATATTCTCTTAGGAAATGAAGCTGTCGCACAGCTTCACTGATTGACAGATTTTTTTTTTTTTTTTTTTTTACTGCTGAGACTGTCTTGGAAAGTGTAAGAATCTATAACTAGGCCATGGTGATAAAATCAATCGGGGAAATATGGAAAATACATTTGAAATGATAAATATTCACAATAATGCGTAATAATTTATGGCACTTTGTTCATATTTATTATACTGGAGTTCCGGATCCTCCAGGTGTTGACTTTACAATTTTAACTTTATGATACTAACTTTATTATTTTTCTTATGTTTTATTTATCTTGATCGACTTCAATACTCTTCACTGTTGATTAGAGGAAATGTGGTGGACAGTTGACTTTTACTTTGGGGAGGAAGACCTGTAGTCTATTTAGTGCTGATGTGCCATACTATACCATGTGTATTAGCGTAAAGAAAAGGTTCTTTTGATATTGTAACCTACAGTTCATTACAATCTAAGGTCACATACCCTCTGAAAGAAGAAAAAAAAGAAAACGATCGTGCCGGATTCTGTCAGAGCAGAAAATAAATGAGAAGTTGTTGACAAAGTAATGTATGTGTTTATATAAAAACAATGCTTGGAGGTTCTATTGGCAGCAAGTGAAGTAGCACATTTCCGAACCACATTCTGGAGTCAACCTTTTTTTTTAATGTTATTTCTAAGCCTTGTCCACTAGAGGGCAATAAAAGATAGCTTTAAAAAAAACGGATGCCTTCCTAAGGCTATCGGACAAAACTTGCATGTTTTGCTGTGCAAAAAACAAGGTTAAAGTGTTTTTCTTGGAGTGTTACAATGAAACGCAGAAATAAATATGCCCTGCTCCTGTCTTTCTTGAGATGAGAAGAGGTGAACAAGTTTATTTTTCTGTCTAGAAAGGCTGAGTGAATTCTTACAGTGGAAGGTCAAGTTGTCCCTGTAGGATTAATACTGTTCTCGCGTTCTGCCTGGGACTTAGTGTCAACCACATCGTGTCACATCTGCAGGGGACCTCAGCACACTGTCGGCACACATTTTGAGATCTTAGCCTTTCACCTACATCATGAAAACTAACTTGCCCTAGTGGAACTTTCATAATCTTGAGATAAACCTCCACGGCTGATCACTGAACCTTGAGTCCCGAACCACCTTGCAAGTAATAATCCTGCCAATTGAAAATGATTTTGAAAATACGATACATTTTATATATTTCATGTGTATTTAATTCATTTTCATGGTTGCAAAAAAAAAAAGAAGAAGCGCAAAGTTAAACTTATGCGTTTTTGCCATTTCAGCAGAGTACCTGTTTGTAGCAATGTTTTTGTTTATAACTTTGTTCCAGCCAAGGTCTTCAAATTGAATCCAGTGCTCTTTGCAGTACAGCTTGTTGTGTTTAGCGAAAAGTTGGGGTCAATGGAGTCCTATTGTGTTGTCCTTGGTGGCTGGTAACAGTAATGAAAAAGGAGGCAGTGGAAAATAAGAGTCTTTAAAATAGTATTTTGGCTGATTTTTTTAGAACCTTTAGCTGAAAGTGTCCTAGTTTTCGGACTATCAATTGCATCTGAATATGAGATGCACCCACTAACTTTAAGAAAAAAAACACACCGTAGAGACACTGGCAGCACTCCTCTATATGATGCAGGTGTTGTAACATGGGATATACACACAGATGTTTTTTCTCTCCACTTATATTTAAATACGTACCAGGAACATGCCCAAAAATCTACCATAAATCCTTTTTTTCCAACCTGTTTGGTAATTTAATGGGTCTGATGTGACGAGGCTCGCTGTTTTGGCAACATGAAACTCGTTAGCCTGTAAAAATCCAGAAATTGACTGCATCCTTGTTTAATCTGCAGTGTCAAAAAAGTACTGACTTCCAGACCATGTTAACGCTGGGTCATTTTTAATAGATCATCTAAAATGAGTGGGTCTCTTTAATTTCATCCTTGTTTTTTAGAGTTGAAATTCCCTGGTCAGCCTATAGAATGCAGTGTTGAAATGTGCCAACCGTGGGTTCTCCAGTTAGTGGGAGCTGATATGTTAGGAACAAAAGCTGTTCTATTGCCCGCACATGTCTGTAAATCAAAGAAGAGGACATGCCAGCTATCAGCTAGCTGCTTGTCTCCCTGCTTTCTACTCCTCCAGCCTCTGTGTAATTGCCTCAGCCTTACTTTGCCAACTCTTCCACCCTCCCCTCACTTGCTCCTGCCTGTTTTGCCCTCCCTCTGATTCCTTATTGTCTCTCTGTCTCTTGGACAGGTTTCACAAACAGCTCATTGGGAGCAGAAAGTGGAACAGCACTGTGCGGATTAATGGGGCTCCCTGATAATTTTTATCTGACGGCTCATCAGGGGAGACCATGCTGCTTTCAATAGCTCTTAGAGTGATCATTCACCATGTTGAATGCGAGTAGAATAGATGCTAATAATGTGTGCCTACAGAGTGTATTAATACATGCCTTATTGCACCTTTAATTTACATCTACAGATTATATAATCCACAGGCTCTCGTTTAAACTGGACTGAGATATGGTAAATGGCAAACAATTTAAAACCTGTTCTCAGAAAAGCCAAGCGACAGCAATCTGATTCTGATTCTGATATTCAAAGACACTCAAGTCCCTGTTTTAATGAATCGAACCAGTTTGACTAATAGTCTTCGTTCACTTCATCAGGTAAACGTACTTTCATTTATTTGCTCACCTAAATCTCAGTGAAAGGGATACAAAGTAAGAAATAGTAATAGTTTATATTGCAAAGTGTGAGGCAGCATCAGGGAAATACTTACCTTTGTAAATGAACTGGAAGCGGCAAGCAAAACATTGTTGCAAAACAAAATAATTGCACTTGGCGGTGTCTCCAAAGCTCTCTAATTAACATGTTTTATCGTGTATGTGCAATTAAGTTCTTGATATATGTACTCCGCTTGGCTCGATATCCTCTATACACAGGTCTCTTCTTTTGGTATATGTAATGTCACACAAATACAGGCCATCACTTTTTATTTCTAAA